TAAGGAATAATAAGTATATAACTTAATGTTATGTGTTTATTTAACATAAATATTGTATAGACATCGATTTGTTTAAACGTAATATTATTAAAATAAAGCTTGATTAAATATTAATAAAAAAAAGAATATACAAATTCTATCTACTTTAAATAGAACAACTTTTTAATGTAACATATTAAGAGCAATTAAAAAAAAGTAAGTAAGTTCAAAATCTGAGAAAAAAAAAACTATTTTCATTTCAAAATCTTAGAAAAATGGTATTCTTGGCTTTAATTTGAAGCCTTAACTTCTTTTCAATTAAAAAAAAAAACGATTTAAATACAATAAAAACTTTATTAATAAATAATAAATTATACAATTTGTCAAATGTTTTTTCATGTGAAACTGGTAGTCAAAGAAGTCCTTCCTTATTTTCCGTGGCACTCCCTCCGCCCTTTTCCGCAGGATTTTTTCCGTGTGCAAGCGTTTCTTTTTTTTCCGCTCCTTTGTTACATTTGATTGTCGCAAACGAAGTGGAAAAGCAAATGTTGCACAAACACACACGCATGGAAGTGGAAAAGGGGGGTCTGAGTGTGGGCGGGGGTTGGATTGAAACGGAAATGCACACTAATTACTCCTTGGCAGTGGAGGAAAAAAACCCTTTTTACTTTCACGCTCCTCTGCTCAGGCCATTTCACAATTTTCATTTTTTTCCCCTTCTTTTCTTTCATTGTTTTTTGTTTTTTTCTTGCTTTTCCTTGTCTTGGCTCTGTGCCGTGCTTTCTTCTTTCTTTCATTCTTTCACTCAAGACCAGAGAGAGCTAACCCCCTTATGATAATTGAAATGGCGAGCTGCGCCCCTGGGTGGGGGGTGGGGAGAAGGGGTCACAGTCTCAGCCACAGCCACAGCCAGGGGACAGCAACAACAAAAAAATAATAATAATAATAACAAAACAACAATATTAATAACTGGCCACACTGCACAATCAAAACACAAAAGGCCAATTATAATTGCCATTTCGATTGAATTTTAAGTGACTCTCTGTGGCAAATCAACAATAAACAATTATAATTGGAGAAGAAATAGCAATTTGTTTTCGAAATACATATTAGATTCTTTTGTTAAATCGTTTGAATGTTGTAAAAATGTAAATTTAATGACTAGTACTAACATAACCTAAAAGGTTTAACTTCCGATAACACTGTTTGCACTTGTTAAGTTTTGCCTAAGAATCTCTCTGAAATATAAGTTAATTTTATAATAAATTTAATAAAATTTAAAAAGTCATAACATATTTCTCAAATGTCTTGTATAAACATCTATTAGAATTCATTTAAAGCAGCTTTTGTGGATATCCCACAGTGTGTAAGGGCCTTCCCTTAAAAGTTGTTATTAACACTTAAAATGTGTGCTTAACAACATTTATCAACACTTAAAGTTCATGAAAAGAACCAGTAAGCAAAAAAAAATTGAACTTTTCCATGTGATTGTTTGTCAAATCACAATTTTTCACAATTCTCACGAAGCATTTGTGATTTTTGGAGTCGCAGCCGGAAGATGCCTTTTTCGGAGAATGAGGGTATCGCCAAGACCGCCGTAGAGGGTTCGGGTTCGGGTTTGGGATCAGAATCGGAATCGGGATCGGGACCTGCACCTGAAAACCAGAAGAAACCTGGAGAAGGACAGGGAGCTGAGTCTCCGCAGCTTCTTTACTCTTGCCCAATTTGTTTGATGCCCTACGACGATCCCATTGTCACCGGTTGTGGACACATTTTCTGTTTTGGATGCCTAAGCGAGGTCGTTGGCAGGTCCTTGACCTTTCCCCGCTGCCCAATGTGCCGCCAAATTATCTAAAAAAAAATATTGAAAAAAAATAGTCCATCTCCAAATATACGTGCAAGTATGAATACATTTCTTCCTTAAAACTTAACTAATTTAAATTCTCTTACAGGTTTTTGCCAAATACCAATTTTTACATGCAAGTATGAATATATTTCTTTCTAAACATTTAACTAATTTAAATTCACCTTCAGGTGTTTATGCCGATGCATATATGAATTTATGTACATACCTGGAAATGTATCTACTGTCTGGAAATAACTATTGCACATTACTAACAATAAACTCTTAACTTAAAACTATATATTTTAAGGGATATTTTTTTTTCCATAGGTAGCCCTTAGTTTTATATAACTTAAGGGGGGTACTCCCCTTTTTATAGATTTTGTTGTATTTTATATTTTAATTGCTCATAATCCTAAGAATATTTTGTACAAATTTTACTTCGATCATTGCAAAATAGATTAAGTTATGGGAATTTCAACGGAGCTCGACAAAAACTGATTGAAAAGTTCAGTCAAAAGCATGAATCCCATTGAAGAAACCATTTCCAACTCCATAAAGCATAAATATCATTGATCAGCATTAACAGCCGAGTCGATCTAGCCATCTCCGGCGACAATTTAGGGGGGTTACATCGTTAAAACTTATTTTAAACCTATACAGATATGTTAACCTAATGGAAACTACCATTATAAAGCTTTTCAAATTGTAAGAGTATAGAAATTTCGGTTTCCCAAGGTTAGCTTCTTTTTCCCTTCTTGTTTTTATTAATTATTTATTCAGTATTTTATTAACACAATGTTGCCTTGCCTTGTGTCAACTTTAGCTTAACTGTATATTAATTTTAATATTATATTTTAAATAGGCTGCTAAAAAAACACCCATATTATAGGCATTAAAATCAATTAAGGCTAGCACAAATATTAAAAAATTGTTATGTACCCAAGCCATACTTGAAATAAAAAGGCTATAAACTTACATGTTAATTATAATGTTTGCTTAAATGTGCATTGTATTTATTTTTAAGGGAAACTATGGAAAAGAATCAGTAGATTTTACCCATTTCTCTAAACCAATTTCAATGTCACTTAAGCTACCTGTTTAAACTTTAAGTTCGGATCACCGCCTGCCGCCAAGTTTACTTTCGGCTTTTCCATTGTTTTTATTTTTTTATTTTTATTTTTACTATTATTTTTACCTATTGCCAACCTGTGCCCTCTCTCTCTCTCTTGGCCATCGATCAATCCCAAAGTCTGGCACGGACATTTAAGCCAAGTACACACTCAAAGCGATTGTTCAATACGTTTTCAGCTCTCGATTCGAGTATTTTCCTCTTTTGGGGGGGGGGAGAAAAAAAAAGGATGGGGTGGCAGGTGCCTGGTGGGGGGTGTGGTGGGGAAAACCCTCCTCTCTTACCCCCTTTCAGTACCGTTATCTACTTTGTTTGGTATTGGCAAGCGAGACGCATAAACAGGCCAGCGAAATGAGAGCGCGACTACAAAGAAAATGACGGAGAAAAAGGAAAAGCGGACAGTTGCAGTAGCAATAGAAGCGAAAACAGATAAAGAAGCGATTTTTATTTTTTTTTAGCTCTGTAAATGTGATAACTTCAAGTGAAATCATTTGAAAATTATGGTTAAAAGTAAAAATAAAATAAAATAAAATCGAAAAAGGTTTAGCTAAACTCCGATTTTTAGTTCAAAAGGTTATTCCGTTTCTTGAGATTTACAGTTTGAATTTTTTAATATTTATTTATTCATTATTAATTATTTAAATTAATTTCATCAAAAAATTAAACTACATACAAGGTATTTATTATAGGAAATTATTTTAAAATCATTATTATATTTTATTTATTATAAAGAAATATTTTCTAAGCAATAAATATTTAATTAACCAAATAATAACACAACACTTGTTGGTTTCATCTCAATTTCAAACGCGCGCGCGCACAAGTTCACTCAAAACGGTTTGAGTGAAAATTAGTTTCCATTCAATAGCACCAGAGGGCGTCTTTTTCACATTTTCCCGCAGCTTTTTAAGCGCTCTTAAAAGTTTTCCAAAGAATCTTAATGAAAAAGCATTAAATTAATACAAAATGAAACAATATTAAAAATAAATTAAGAAAATTATAAGAAATTTCCTAACTTAATCGTTTAAACATCTATTTGTATGTACATAAATATTTTAAGCAGCTTTTGTCAATGTTACAAATGCAAAAATAAATTTTTGAACACTTAAAATTTGGTTTCTAAAAGAGACAGTAGCAAATTGAAAATTTGTCCAGTGTTGTTTTGTCAAAAACGTTTTTCACAATTTTCACAAATCAAGTCGAAATCACAGCGACCTTCCGGAAAAAAAGGTAAAAAAGGTAAAAAATGCCTCCAATTCGCAACAAACGTACCAACAGGGCAGGACGAAAGGCTGCCGCCGTCGAAAAAGGTTCGGGATCGGGATCGGCCTCAGGATCCGGATCCGGATCGGGATCTGGAAAGGATAAGGAGCCTGGAGCAGGACAGGAAGCTGAGGAGCTTGATAAATGCCCGATTTGCTTGCTGCCCCTTGAGGAGCCTGTAATGACCAAATGCAAGCATGTTTTTTGCCTAATTTGCCTGCACGGACTTGTTCGCACCTCGGCGGCCCGCTGCCCACTCTGCCGCCAGGATCTTTAATCTTTTCACACAAAAATAATGATAAACAAGGCAAGTAAGCATTTTCTTATATTTTCATATTTAACTAATGATAAATCCTCTTAGGTTTTGTCATATGTACATTGTCCATTCCTGATTTTAACATCTTTTCAATTTTTTTGGAAATTCTCATCATGGCATATGTACATTTCTTAAAAATCCGAGTTTCGTACTCCAATGTCCAATTGTCAAAAAAAAAACTGCTGACTTATTTAAAGGGAAATGTGATGTAAGTATTTAAAATAATAATAATGAGGGTTTATTTTAATTTTATTCACTTTCCAGCTTTTAACAGCTAAAGATTGGTCGATTTTCCAAATCCTATACATACATATGTATACATATGTATAATAATAAAATCAACCCTAGATAAAGTCCAAACTCTTGTTCCATTTGCTTTTTCCTACTAATTAAAGCTGCAATACCACAGGTTTAATTATTTGTAAACAAAGCTAATGCTCTGTGATACTCAGAAGGAAACCCAACGCTTTCTTTGTTGGATAATATAATATTTATTCTCGTGAAATCAAAACGACTTAATCATATTTCGACTTCATCACATAGAGAAGCGAAGACAAGTTCACAGAAAAATCGATAGAAAAAAAAATAATTCGATCGAATGTGATCAAATGAATTATAAAATTAGCAACTAAAGTAAGATCCTACGACTTTCGCGCATATTCAACTTCAACTTGGCCTCCAGCTCCTTTTCCGTACTGCCCTACTTCTCCTCACACCACTCGTTCTCCTTGCGCACCTGCTCCTCCTCGGCGGGTGTGAAATCCTTCTTGATGTTGAACGTCTTGCGGATCTCCTCCGGTGTCTTGCCCTTTATCATATTGGCCACAGTCTTGCATGTGAGCTCCAAGAGGCCCTTAATGTCCAAATAGTTAGCAGCCAAAATCAGTTCAAAGAGCGTGCCCTGATCGACTTTAAGGAAATCGGCGTCCCACGAGATAATGTCATCGGTGCGCTTCTCCTTGCTCTCATCGTCCTCCGTTGGCTGCGGATCATCCTTGTGATAGTTGGCCCAGATGAGCACCTTGCGTAGGATGGTCGAGTTGACATTGGGCAGCGGCACCACAGCATTCTCATCGTCCTCCATGCCGCAATCCTCCAGCATCGTTTTGATGGTGCCCGAGCACTTGGCGATCTGGATGTCGGTGTCGAAGATCTCGTCATCGGACGATTGTAGCTTGATGGTCGGCATATCTGTGATTGCTGGATGGATTCTGGAATGGCAATACATCAATAAGAAATGTAATCCCAGACTCAGCAATGGAATTCGTTGGAACAAGAGTGCGAACAAAAACAATAACATCTTCAAGACAAGAAAATACGCATACGAATAGTCATGGATAAGCACGCACACCGATGCACCCCGCACTGAAACACACATACATATATGCAGGCAGTGCATCGGTGTGCGTGTATTTCTTATTCCCCCGCAACAAAAGCAGCCATCTCGAATATATTTGCTTGCCATGCGATTTGCTGCACGTTTCCTTTTACTACGCCATCACTTGTCCTTCCAACGCCTGCTTACCTTAAATTGAAGCTAACAATTTGCTTTGAAACGTAATATTGGAGCGAAGATTGCCTGCTTATTCCAGAAAAAATAATTTCCACAAACGAAAAATTCAGGGATGAATAATCGCAGTGTGGCTGAAGTTCAAGTAGGTAAAAAACTCCGGAATAAGAATGGTCACACTTGTGAAATCGTGGTTTGAAAATTATTCCAAGACTAGAACTAAATCAAAATAAATACTTCTCAATTACGAATATATCCTTGTATATAAAAACCGTCGAGATAGGTTCCTTTACCGCAAGCACTCATAATATTAAATGCATTGCGAAACAAATAACTAGTGCAGAACGTTGTTCAAAAGGTGGGAAACTTTGCTGGACGAAAACATATTCAGGACTACGTCAGTTCACAAAAATCGTTGTCCTGTTTGGATTCAACCATCGGCGGCTTCTGAAAATATTTTTGTGCTTATTGTGGTATTTATTTGAAAAAAAGTTTCTTTGTTGCATTTTAAAGCATTCCCGCCGAATACGAAATTTGTACGATGCTATCGCACTTGTCAGAAACTCGATAAGTACCGGTTGGCACAAGCCACTGTTGTTATCGATAGCGCCATTCAATGGTTCGGTTTGTCAGCTCTATCGGGTGGCGAAAAAAAAAACGGATTTTCGGAATATCGCGGAAAATCAACGCGAAAAAAGGAGAACGCAGCGCCCTAAGTCGAGCTCACTTTTCTAATTAAATCGACCCAAGCTCCACTAATGCGGGGACACAGGCGCGCTGTTCCCCACGAGTCGTCGCCAGCGGTAGACGCGAGAATTAAGTAGTTACTGCCAGGTGAAGCGAGGCGTGGAGAAGAGGCAAGAAAAAGGCATACATACATACACACGTACGCACGTACAAACGCGTCGACGTCGCCGCTGCGAAGGAATATATGTATCCGGCCGTGCGTGTGTGTGCGTGTACAAATCCACATACACAGACGTGTGGTGGCTGCAGCTTCTAGCAGAAGCAAGAAGAGAGGTAAAGAGCGAGCGAAGAGAGCTATGGACGACGGCGTTTTGATGTTTTGGGAACAAAGGCGTTAAAATGATTTGCCACCGCACCGGAGTCGCCAGCAACAACAACGTTAGCAGCAGCCGGGACGACTCCAAGCCCACCAGCACGAGCCCCAGCATCAGCTACGGCCCACTGTGATATATTTTGGATACGAAGCCAAAGCCAAACCATCCAATTCAATCCAGCAACAACATTAAACAAGCCCGTGTACGTGCCGTTTGTTGTGAATGTGTTGGTGTGTGTATGTCTCAACAAAAGCAGAAAAAGACGCACGCACACAGACGCAGCGGACAAAGCATCAGACATTGGAGTGACAGAGAGGGAAGGAGAAAGAGGAAAGGAGAGGGGAGCCGAGAAGCAGCAGCCGGAGCAGCCAGTAGCGCCTTAGTGAATAATTCATTTAAGGTAAATGTTTACAACAATCGAATAAGTGCAAAAGCAAATCAAGAAGTATAAACATATCAGAGTGTTAGTGTGATTGTGTGCTCTGTGTTGGTACGAGAGTGTGTAACAGGCGCCGCCATTTTTCGTTCCCATGTAACGAGCGCTGCAAATGTTCGCCCAGGGTTGGCAAGGTACCGAAAGCTGCCAGCTATTGTTCCAAGAAGCGTGAAACTCAAGTGTGGCTTGTTTACATTTTTTTTTTTTTTTTTTTATATATATTTTGATAAACTTTCGTATTTTGTGACCGTTGCCAGTCGACAAAGATACTAATAATTATAAATCCAATTCCCAGACATTTGGCAACCCTTTTTTTGCTGCTCACCTATTCTCACTGCGCATATGCTGCTCTCTCGCTCTGCCCCATTCGTCGTGCATATAGGTGCGTGTGCGTGTGCGACTATGTATATTTGTGTGCGTGTTGTAAACAGCTGAGAATAATTTGCAATCGAAATCCATTCAGAACAATTCGGGCAGCAACAAATATCAATTTCCAGCCATGTTCGCACACTCTCCTGCCTCCCACCCTCGCCCCCAAATCCTATACGTCTTCTTTTATGCTATTCCATGATCTGATTACTTCTGCAAAACTGACTTTTGTACACAAACAAAGCGGTGACGGCGACAGAAGCTGAAACTGAAACCGAAATTGAAGCTAAAACGAAAAAAAGAGTTTGGCGTCGGCGTCGAGCAACGCGATAACTGTGACTGCTGCCGACGTCGCCCAGTCACAGTTATATTGTTGTAACGCCGCCACGCCGCGCAGCTTCTCGCGAATAGGAAAGGCGGACAAGAACATGCTAAATTGCAAAGTGCTGATCGCTGCAAATCGATAATACAACTTTTGTTGTGTTCGCATTTTGTTCCTTTTCCCTTTTTTTTTTTTTATATTTTTTTCGTTTTTGTTTTTTGTTGCTTTTGCAAACACACAAAAGCTGTGGACGATGAGTGAGCGAGCGGCGTAGCAATATTGTTCAATGCTTTAGGCTGGCCCCGTAAGTGTGTGTGTGTGTGTGTGTGGATTGTCTGGAATAAGTGCAGGATTTTCGTGGATCGATATGGCCTTTTTTTTTTTGTTACACATGTGCTTGCCAAGTTAATTGATTTTTTTTTTTTTGCACGTGTATGTGTGCGAGACTTGCCTGGAGTGGGAGAGAGCCAGAACGAGACTAAGAGAGAACGAGAGCGTTGTCTGTCGACGACCCCAGCAGCAAGCAATCAGTTACACCTCTCGCTCGCTCTTGCGCTTCCCGCTGCCGAAGCCGTATGCTTAAAAATACAAAAAAAAATTATTATATTATGTGTCAGAAAGAGATAAGTAAAACCTAAGTGTTGTAGAATAGTGATTAATGTCAAAAACAGCTGTTTTTTGCCACCCCTTGATTTGCCACAACTGTAGCTTAGTAATTGCTGCAAAACTAGCCTGTATTTCGGGGCAGTGAGTGAGCAAGAGAGAGAGAGATTGAGTGTGTGTGTGTGTGTGTGTGTAAGTGCTGCAAATACTTTGCACTTGTCCTAGTCCTGCTTGAAAACATGCCTTCTTTCTCTCGCACTATAGCTATCTCGCTTCGAACCATGTAACCCAAGAACGGATGGTGCTGCCAGATGCGAGAAAAAATAAACAGCTGATAATTTGCCGAATTTTGTGAATTTGAATAATTTACATTTTTTTGTTTTAGGTTTTGTTTATAATCAAGAGTTTTAATAATTTTAAATAAAGAATAAGAACTCTTTAAGTAAATACTAAAATTTCTTTAAATATAACAACTCACTAAAATGTACAAAATGGGTAAAATATCGTATTTATTCCTATTTTCTAATACTTTGCAGACTGTCCTGCAGAATGGTCGTCGGCTCGAATCACACGCGTCGCGGTGAAACTGGCAGCAGATTTACAAGCAACAACAACAACAGCAGCAGCTCCAGCGGCTCGACAGCAGCCTCCTCGGGCAGCAGCAGTATCACCACCAGCGCAACGTCTTCACTAGCCAACAACCCCAGCCCCAGTCCCAGTCCCAATACCAATCCAACGGCGACGGCGGCGTCAGCGGCAGCGGCAGCTCTGTTGTCGTCAATGTCCCACAAAGGTCATGTTCCGGCACCACCAGCAGCACCACCATCCGCGCAGCAGCAGCAGCAGCAGCCGCCGCAGCACTCGCATTCGAATCCGCACCAGCAGCAGGCTCAGAGCCATCATCCGCATGCCCACTATCAGCAGCCGCAGCACACGGCGACGCACCACCATCACTCCTCGTCGAATGGAGGAACCGCTGGATCGGCTACAGGTTCGGGAGGATCATCATCGTCATCAACATCATCAGGTGGCCTTAATGGCTGTCACAGCAACGGCAGCGCCGTCAGCCGTTTATCCCAATCCACTGGAATGTCGCCACGCGAACTCTCCGAGAACGATGATCTGGCCACATCGCTGATCCTTGATCCGCATCTCGGTTTCCAAACCCACAAAATGAACATTCGCTTTCGGCCACTGAAAGTGGACACGCAGCAGCTAAAGGCCATTGTCGATGATTTTATACACACGCAGAACTACGATGTGGCCATACAGCGCATCTACGATGGCCCCTGGATACCGCGTCACCTCAAAAATAAGAACAAGATAGCCACCAAGCGGTTGCACGATCATGTGAGTATCACAATGAAGATAAATCCAGTGACGAGTCACACATAAAATTAGTTGAATATATTTTGGAGAGGTATTTGGATTCCCTATCCTTACTCACCATCTCATGTTTATTCCGTTTCAGATCGTTCGCTACCTGCGCGTCTTTGATAAGGACAGCGGCTTTGCGATCGAGGCCTGCTATCGTTACTCATTGGAGGAGCAGCGCGGCGCCAAGATAAGCTCAACGAAACGCTGGTCCAAGAACGACAAAATCGAATGCCTGGTGGGCTGCATCGCAGAGCTGACCGAGTCCGAGGAGGCGGCCCTGCTGCACTCGGGCAAAAATGACTTCTCGGTGATGTACAGCTGCAGGAAGAACTGTGCCCAGCTATGGCTAGGACCGGCTGCGTACATTAATCATGATTGCCGTGCGAACTGCAAGTTTTTGGCCACCGGACGCGACACTGCTTGCGTGAAGGTGCTGCGCGACATCGAGGTGGGCGAGGAGATAACCTGCTTCTACGGTGAGGACTTCTTTGGCGACTCGAATCGCTACTGCGAGTGCGAGACGTGCGAGCGTCGCCATATGGGCGCCTTTGCCGGCAAGGAGGATGGCCTAATGCTCGGTCTTAGCTCGGGCCTAGGACTGGGTCTCGGTTTGGGCACCGGTGGTGCCGGCAACGGCGGTGGCTATCGGCTGCGTGAGACGGATAATCGCATTAACCGCATCAAGAGCCGTGCCAACTCCACCAACAGCACCTCGAACAGTAATAGCAACACGAATGATTCCACTGGCACCAGCGAGAGCAGCAGCAGCACTAATGGTCTTGGAGGATCGGCAGCAGCAGCTGCAGCAGCATCAGCGACAGCACCTGCAGGAACTGCTGTGCCTTCAGTTCCGGGCACCGCCCTACCGACACCATCTCACCATCAGCCAACGGGCAAGGAGGCCACTGCCGCCGTCTCTTTGCTCGAGAAAAAGCTGCCAACAAATGTGGTTGTGTCGCCGCTGACAATGAAGGAGCTGCGCCAGAAAGGCATGACCAAGTACGATGCCGAGATGATAATGGCCAATGCGGCATACCAGCAGCAGCATCATCACCAGCACCACTTCCACCACCACCACCATCATCATCATCACCACCATCAGCAGCACAATCATGGCCAGCATGCGAGCACCGGGGCCGAGGCGACGGCAGCCGTGCAACAGATGGCCATGCAAAAGCCAGGAGGAGGAGGAGGAGGTGGCACCGGCACGGGAACTGGTGTGGGAGCTGGAACTGGTGGCGGAACCGGAGCAACAGCAGCAACATTAGGCGTGGCCAGCGGAGCGGGCTCCGAAGTGAACGGCAGCGGCAGCGGTCGCTCGAGCAGCCTTCGTAAATCGATGCGAGTGAATAGCACCAGCAGCAGCATTTCCACAGCCTCCACCGATGAGGTGGTGGTGCCCGTTACGAGCACATCCCTAATGGTCCTGGTGCCCCGCTGCAAGCCCGCTGAAATTGCGGCCTTACTCGAGATGCGACAGCAACGCCAGCTGAGACGCAGCGAGCGGCAGAAGGAGAAGCAAACGGATAGCGAGAGCAGCGATGCCAGCGAGCAGCAGCACCAAAAAAGAAGAGGGAGAGAGAGAGGGAGCGGGAGCGGGAGCGGGAGCAGTTGGAGGATCAGCAGCCGCGCAAAATGTTTATTCTCTCGGAGGAGCAGCCGCCGCCGCAGCAGCAGGAGAAGCAGGAGAAGCGTGTGACGCGTAACAGTGCGGGAAGAGCGACGAGTGCTGCTGCTGCCCCTGGAGGAGGATTGGGAGCCAGATTAGCCACTGCCCAAAACAATAACATGGCAACCAACAGCAGCAGCAGCAGCAACAAAGCAACGATTACAAATTGTAATAATCATAATAGTACTAATAGCAGTAGAATTAACCATAATTCTAATCTTAGCGGTAGACTTAGTGTTAAATCAAAGAAGCCAGCACCAAGTGAGGCCTCGTCCACATCCTCAACCACATCCACATCCACATCCTCAAAGCAGCAACAGCAACAGCAGCAGCAGGCAACGCGTCGCAGTCGCAGCCACAGTCCCGCCTTCAAGAAGAACCTTTTGGCCAGCTTTGATCCTCCCAAGGAGCAGCATGAGGAAGGAGCCAAGGAGCCCCCCGTCAAGCAGAAGCGTAGTCGCAGGGCGGCCGCTTTGGCAGCAGCCCAAAGTATACACTGTGATGCCCTGGGAACGGCGGCGGCGGGTGATCGTGGAGCATCAAATAGCCAGCGCAATAAGAGATCCAACCAGGCCAGTTCAAACGCTGGGGAAGCTGTCTCCGCCTCCGCCACCGCCACCGTCACCTCCGCCTCCACCAACAGCAACGTGGAACCGCTGCTGAAGACGCCAGAGCGCAGGCTTAAGCTCACGTTGCGTATGAAGCGTTCGCCCATTCTGGACGAAGTAATCGAGTTGGGAACGAGCCTGAGCAACGATCATCGTCACTCGATGCGACACAATGGCGGCTTGGGACGCAGTGGGGCAACAGCAACGAGTGGAGCGGCAGGAGAAGGCCTGCAAGGAGCTGGATCAGGAGGAGCTGCCGGCAGAGGATCGTCTGATGGCGGAGCATTGAATCTAACCGGTAGCAGCAGCTCCAATGGCATTGAGTATGAGATATTGCGCATGGAGGGCATATCGGAGCATGGCAACGATGATGATGACGAGGACGAGGACGATGGTGATGATGATGACGAGGATGAAGACGAAGAAGAAGAGGAGGAGCAGGAGCAGGATGAGAATGAACAAGGACAAGCAGAAGAGGAGCCGCAGGAAGAGGAGAAAGCGATGGAGGAGCCGGAGCCGCACTACGAGCCACTTGCCAAAAAGCAAAGGAAGAAACAGCGCAGTAGGAGCAGAAGCAGCCAGCGCAGGTCGCCCGCTCCCAGCAGCAGCAGCAGCAGTGTGTATGGCACACCGCAAAAGAAGCGACTCCGGCTGATCTTTGGCAACGAGTCCCACACCATAGACATTCCACCAGCAGCAGTAACACCGTCAGCAGCTGGATCAGAGGGCACCACCGCCACCGGAGCCGCTGGGAGCAGCGGCGTGGATGAGCTCAATAGCAGTGGCGGCGGCGACGATGAGTCCTTCAATGCCTCGTATGCCAGCAGCACCAGCCTGACGGTCAACACATCCTCGCAGACGACCAGCAGCGCCGCCAACACCAGCACCAGCTCATCGTCTGTAGAGGTTGTGGACTCCTCCACGGTTGTCCATCCGAATGCCGCCGCCACCGCCACTGCCACTGCCCAATCGCCATCCTCCACCACCAGCAGCTCCTTCCAATCGGCCTGCACGTCGACCACGAATAGCAATAGCTACTTTCCCAACGGAAGCAAGCAGCAGCAGCATCATCAGCACCAGCGCGAGGAGTCCTATGCGATGCACTACTATCAGCTGGGCAAGTTCGCCAGCACCTCGAGTCCCGGCCAGGGTCAGGCCATTGTGAGCAGTAGCAGCGGATCGGGAACGGGCGTTGGATCAGGGACAGGAGCGACAGGTGGAGGCGGAGCAGGTGGAGGAGGATTCCTGAGCATGCCCAAGCATACATTCGGCACCTGTGCCCTATTGGCACCCACTAGCTTTGCCAGTCTGCAGCAGCAGCAGCAGCAGCAGCCAGTGTCCCAGGCACAGTCGCAGATGAAGTCCAGCGGAGGCGTAGGAGTGGTGGCCACATCCACATCCACAACTCATCATAATAACAATCATCATCATGGCCAGAAATAACCAATGACTGATCTCCAAGCAAATTGACTAAGCTCAGCTGCCATTGCCAAGGGCGGAGGATTGGGAGGAGAAAGAGTGAATAAGGAGGAGCAGCGCGGGAGCAGGAAGAGAGGCAGGTGAAGAGCAAAACGACAAGGAAGATGGAGAAGGATAAGGAATGGAAGGCGAAGGCAAAGGAGGAGACTTGTTGCGCTGCTGGCGTGTCGCGTTGCCTCTGCTGCTGACCTCTGTGCGAGACCCTTAGTAGCAAACCCTTAGACTAAGCCCTAGACCTTAGCCTTAGCACACACACAAGAACATATATTAGCTATATAGATCTAGCCCAAGTAGATCTATCCTATACCAGAAGCCAGTCCATTAATCAATCCGTTGAGGAAGGCAAGCAGAAGAGCAGGAAATCAGGATATATATGCCACATTTTGGATATATATATATTTATATATCTGATGATAACCTTTCTTTCTTTCTTTGCTTTCTTCTATTTTCTCTCTTTCTTCTCTTGTGACGCGCCCCCTCATTGTGTGTTGTGTACGTGTCCTGCGTATGTATGTGTGTGTGTGTGCGCGTGTGTGTGTGTGTGCGCGTGTGTGTGTGTGTGTGTGTGCTTCTCTATTTGCAGATGAAGTTGGAGAAGAAATAAAGCTTAAATGTAGGCAAAGGAGAGCAGAGCAGAGTGGCAGGAACGGCGACAGCAGAAGAAGGAGCAACAGCAGCAGCCGGAGGAAGAGAAGAAGGAGCAACCACAGCAGCGGCAACTTGATAGTTAAAAAGCTAAGAATAGAATTAAATCGCATACAAATCATGTACAGTTGAGACATAGACACCGGTGGACACCCGTAGCGAGCAGGAGGAGCCATTTAAACATAATAATAATAATAATAACAATAATAATGAAAGAAATAATACATAATAAATGCAACGCAAGAGAAAAAAACACAAACAAACGCAATTAGCAGCGGTTTTAGACGCCTTACCAACCTTAACGTTAACTTTATAAACCTTATATATATGTATATATATACATACATACATATATATATTTACAAAGCAACAATACAGATCGATATATAAATATATATATATATATGAAGGATATACTTTAGAGAGTCCCACAAGAGCCAACCTACATAGCGCAGCATCCAGCAAAACCAGAAGAGCAATATATAAAAAAAACAACTCAATTTTAAGTAATTATATAAACACAACAAATATATATATATAAATTAAAACAGGCAGTGAAAGGCGGAAAAAGAGCGATTAGCAAAGCAAATCACAACAAAACCGAAAATAATTGTATATACAAAAAGGCGAAGAATTGCAACAACTTGAGAGAAATAATAATAATAATAATAATAATAAAAAGCGATACAACTGCAACAACATGAACTAATGATGGGGCAAAAGGAGAAGAAGAAAGAAAGGAAGGAGATGAGAAAGGATTCATAGGAACTAAAGGTTTCCCTTGAGTTAGTTAACCCCGCCCCCCCCATCATTCTTCAGCCATCAGCTAAAACCTATTCCTGCTCCTCAGTTTTAATACCACTCACACTCACAATACATATATCATGAACACGATTTTGTTTTTATCACGATAAATATATATATACACAATATATATGTATGATTTCTTAACAATATGATTATTATAATTTTTTTTTGTGTTTACTATATAAGTTTAGTTATAAATTAGTTTAGTTGTATAATTAAACATAAATCATATTCGGATATGCATATATATTATATATACTTTATATTCATACTGTGTAACTACTGTGTATTATTTCCTAAGAGACACTACAGCAGCCGAGGCCCTCGCCGCCGCCAACAACATCAACATTCATAAATAAACTAAACAAGAAAATTAGTTTTTTTGAAAATTGCATGCATGGTTTTCTTTCTTACTTGCACTGGACACCATGCACACACCAAGTCTCTCACGTTTCTCTCAAGATCACGAAGCTTATTAATTATGTTTGGTTATTGTTTAAGGCTTTTTTAATGTTTCGATTTAATCAAATTTTGAAGAATTCGACAAGACATTGCTAGATCGACTTGGCTATTGATGCTGAATAGGAATATATTCATACTATTTGTATACTTTTGATCATTTACCTCCCTGATTCCAAGTCATCAGGTCGGACTATAACCTTCAATGCATTTAATTCGAAGAAAAACTTCAACATTTCCCTTTTCAAATAAAAAATACAATCGAAATTACGCTTCCCATTGGCATCTACTACGTTTTCTTCCTTTTATTTCGTTAGCGTTACAAAAAGGTTTCCTGTTCTTGTTTTTTTGGGGTTTTTTAAATTTTTTTTTGGGGGGAAGCCACTTCAGCTGGAGGTCTCACACATTTGGGCAATGTCCTCGCAAGCCATGTCGCGTTCCCGGGCTTACTTAAGATCTAAGAAGCTATAATATATTGGGTTTTGGCATGCATCGCATGGTGCATGGTTCCAATCGCCCGCCGCCCCGTCGTCTAGTGACCATACTTCTGGAAGTCCCACTCGCGGTTGTCCAGGGGACAGACCTGGCGCGTCTTCAGCCATCTGGAAATGCAGTGGAAGTGGAACGCATGGTTGCAGACGCCCCAGGCCACGGTGCACTCCTCGCTGGTGGCGGAGGCCTGGTTGGCCTGGCACTCGATGCACAGGTCCATGATGTGGTTCCTGCAAATGGCGCAATTGTCCACCACGATGTCTATGCAAAAGAAAGGGAAAGAGACGGGCGGAGCGTTATAGGAGTCGCTGTTCGCGAAGTGGCGTTGGTAGCTACTTACCCCAGGCCCAGAGAGCCACGGCATTCCACTGAACGATGCAAGGATGGAAAGGCGGAAGGCCGTAAATGCACGGGGGGAGAGAGAGAGACAAAGAGATCGGATCAATGAAATATTCCTCGAGGCAATGACCGCCGGAGAAAAAAAAAAAAAAAAAATGCTGACTGTGTGCGACCACATTCAACGAAACTTACCTTCTTCACCTCGAAGCGCTTCTTCTCGCCCTTGTTGCTGCTGGAGGGCACCTCGTACTCTTCGTCATCGACCTCCATCTTAATCTGCAAATGCGTTTGTCTGCGGAACTAGATAATTGCAAATGCAAGATTAGTTTGCAAAGTTTAGCGAAATTGTCGAATTTCTTGAGATGGTGGATAGAGATGGCCCAACAGCGATAAAGCGAAAGTAATCGATGTTTTCTATCGATAAAATATTCACGTAAGTGTGACCAATTTAAGCGACGGACCAAAATCTCCTCTCCAACTAAAAATAAGAAAAAGTTCGAGAGCAGCTTCGTAAAATTCTATTAATTACAAAATTAACTAACTGCTGTGGGTTCTTTTTTTATCCTTAATAAGCGCCGCATGTCCAGACATAGCGCCCATTCATTGCCAAACGTGACGACATTCTCCCAACTCTCCGTTTCGGGCTATGCTAATATACTACAAACACCGTACCGGCTTAAAATCTGCGGAATTGTCATCATCATGTCCTTTCACCTGAGCACTAAGGAGCGCCTGCTCCTCCTGATTGACGACATCGAGATAATATCCAAAGAGCTGATCGAGCAGGCACACCAGAAGGTATCCAGCACAGAGTTGGTGGACCTGCTGGACTTGCTGGTCGCCAAAGATGAGGAGTTCCGGAAAATGCTGGAGCTGGCGGAAGAGCAGGCCAAGGTGGAGGAGGCAATGGACAAGCTGCGGGCCAAGGTGGAGGTTCATGTGAGTTGTGGCCTTATCGTAGACAATTCCTCCAGTATTTCTAATGAATTTGCCAACACCATTCAGGACCGGGAAATACAGAAGCTACAGAAGTCGCTAAAGGACGCGGAGCTCATCCTATCCACGGCCATATTCCAGGCACGCCAGAAGCTGGCCAGCATAAACCAGGCCAACAAGCGTCCGGTTTCGTCCGAGGAGCTGATCAAGTACGCCCATCGGATCAGTTCCGCAAACGCGGTTAGTGCCCCTCTAACCTGGTGCATCGGTGACCTGCGGCGACCCTATCCGACAGACATTGAGATGAGAAACGGCCTCTTGGGTAAATCTGAACAGAATATCAACGGAGGACCTGTGACCCATCAAAACAGTGGAATTCCCTCCGAGCAGCAGCGATCCCTGTCCGGCAGCGGCGGAAGCGGCAGTGGCAGTGGGGCGGGCGGCGAGGTGCCGAACGCCTTCCAAAACCAATTCAACTGGAATCTCGGTGAGCTGCACATGACCATGGGTGCCTCGGGGAACACTGTGGCCCTGGAAACACGGGCTCAGGACGATGTAGAGGTCATGTCCACCGACAGTTCCAGCTCCAGTTCCAGCGACTCGCAGTAGGAGGAGCGGGTTAAATGTAATTAAATCTCTGATAAGCTAGACAATATAATAAGCAGAGCTCGTACAAAAAAGTCAACCAAATACTGTTCATGGCGGGAACTATAATTTGAAATGGTGTAAAGGTGTCAAAGAGCGAGATGGAAATAGTTTTTTATTAAAGTGTTTGTTTTCGCACTGGAAATACTAAACTGCCCCTCCGCCATCTGGCAGCGCCATTTAACTTAGTATTTTGAGCGGGTTACTTGCCTCTCGCTCTCTCTCAAAACTTTATTGAAATGCTTATTCAATTTCGCACTAAATATACTAAACTGCCCATGCGCCATCTGGCAGCACCATTCAATTTTCTAGTATTTCGAGCGGGTTTATTGCCTCTCGCTCTCTCTATCCCTCTCTCTCTGCTTCTAGGCCTTGGTATATTCCAAGTGAATGCCGCCTGGTCACACTGCCGCAACAGCCCAAACAACAGCGAACAAAAACAAAAACACCGCTCTGATGCCTTAGCGCTTTCGTTATTTTTTTGTTGTTGTTGTTATTTGCCAGCCACGCGAGAAGAGAGGAGAAGCCCCGATGCTGCGCCTACTCGTGTCCAACTGCGGTCGCAGCAGCGACGTGTTCAGGTGAGGATGCTAATCCGGCGCGAAACCCACGCACCAGACCGTGGCCTCGCCTCGCCCTCGCCCTCGCCTTTGCCGCTCTCCCGGTTATGTCATCATTCCAACGGTTAAACGCTGTTCTCTCTCTCTTTATCTCCCCCCGTCGCAGTCGCCACCTGCTCCAGCCGACGCAGCAGCCACTGCCACGCCTCCAGAATGCCGCCCGTCTGATGCGACAGCACCTGCGAGGAACGAACGTCAAGGGTGGAGCACCGTCCACGACGCCCGCTGCCATTCCCATCACAGCCACGAAAGCCACCCGCCTGCTGCACACCACACGGCTGCTTCTGTGGGGCGGCGGTAGCCTGACACTCGGACTGGGCGCCCGCTCGTGGTGGGCCGGACGGGGTGCCGTCGTACACTGCGAGGGCAGCCGGCTGGCGGTGCGGAAGGAACCGTTGGAGGATGAGGAGGAAAGGGAGAAATTCGACTGGGTGCGATTATGGTCGTACCTGGAGCCACATCTCTGGGAGCTGATCGGTGCCGTATGCGTAAGTGTTGCCCCCCAACTATTGTCAACCGGAGCTTCTAATCTCAGATTTCCCCTCCCGTAGGCTGCCCTGTTTGTGGCCTACATCAATATTCGCATACCGAACCTGCTCGGCGACCTGGTCAACACGCTGGCGCGTTACGCCAACACGTACGTAACGGATCCTATCAACAACTCGTTCGTAAAGGACGTGAGCAAGCCGGCGAGCAACCTGTTGAGCCTGTACATGCTGCAGTCGGGCTTCACCTTCATGTACATCTACTTGCTGAGCCGCGTCGGCGAGCAGGTGGCGGCCAAGATGCGGCAGGATCTGTTCAAGCAGATCGTCGTCCAGGATATTGCCTTCTTCGATGACAATCGGACGGGTGAGCTGGTCAATCGACTAACCGCCGATGTGCAGGACTTCAAGACCTCCTTTAAGCAGTTCGTCGCCCAGGGATTGCGGAGTGGCGCCCAGCTTATCGGCGGCAGCATATCCCTCTTCATGATATCACCGCATATGGCGGCCATAGCGCTGGCCAGTGTCCCCTGCGTGGTCATGTTCATGTCGTATCTGGGCCGCAAACTGAGATCACTGAGCAAAAGCTCACAGGCGCAGGCGGAACGGGCGACCGGTGTGTGTGAGGAGGCGCTGTCCAATATACGCACGGTGCGATCGAGTGCCTGCGAATACCGCGAGATGCAGCTGTTCGAGACGGAGACGAACGAGGCGGCTCGTCTGGCGCAGGAGCTGGGCTACGGCATTGCCGTCTTCCAGGGCCTGACCAACTTCTTCCTAAACACCTTGGTGCTGTCCACCCTGTTCATGGGCGGCCATCTAATGTCCACGGAGAGCCTGTCACCAGGCGCCCTGATGGCCTTCCTGGTGGCCTCGCAGGGCGTACAGCGATCCCTCGCCCAGGGATCGATCCTGCTGGGCACCATGATCAGGGGCATGACCGCGGGCAGTCGGGTCTTTGAGTTCCTTTCGCTGCAGCCGAAGGTAGAGTTGCTGCGCGGCTATATCATACCGCAGGAGCGGCTGCACGGCGAGATTCGCTTCGAGAACGTCTCCTTTGCCTATCCCATGCGACCGGATCATGTGAGTATTAATGGAGGCGCCACTGCCAAACCAATTTCTAAATCTGTGTAACCCCAGGTGGTGCTCAAGGACTTCAGCCTGACGCTCCGCCCCGGCCAGACAGTGGCCCTGGTGGGAGCCAGCGGCTCGGGCAAATCCACGATAGCATCGCTGGTGGAACGCTTCTACGAACCAACCGCGGGCAACATCAAGTTGGACGGCTACAAGCTCTCGGACATCTCGCCCTACTGGCTGCGGGCCAATGTCCTGGGCTTCATCGAACAGCAACCAGTGCTGTTCGGCACCTCCATCCTGGAAAATATCCGATATGGCAAGCCCGATGCCGGCGAGGACGATGTCTTTGCTGCGGCGCGCCTCTCGCAGTCCCATGACTTCGTGACCGCCCTGCCCGATGGCTATGCAACGCATGTGGGCGAGCGGGGTACCCAGCTAAGCGGCGGACAGCGGCAGCGCATTGCCATCGCCCGGGCGCTGTTGAAGAATCCGCGTATCCTCATACTGGACGAGGCGACGAGCGCCTTGGACGCCACCAGCGAGGCGGAGGTGCAGCGAGCACTGGATACGGCGGTCCAGAATCGGACGACTCTGGTGATTGCCCACCGGCTGTCGACGATACGAAACGCGGATCTGATTGTTGTCCTCGACCAGGGACGTGTTGTTGAGGTGAGTGTCGTATCTTATTATTTGTCGAGCGGAAAAGTTGGAATATATATTGAAAACTTTACTTTTTTCAGACCGGCAAACATGACGAGCTGATGGTCAAGCGCGGCCTGTACTTTGACCTGGTGCGCCAGCAGGAAAGGCGCGAAATCCTCGACCAGGTGGAGTCCTCGGAGGAGGCGGTGGCCACCAAGGAGCAGCCTCAGCAGCAGCCTCAGCAGCAGCAAAAGCAGCAGCAGCAAGCGGCCCCAGCTGAAGCGCCGGCGACAGTGGACAGTAGCAGCAGCAGTCTGTCCGCCAACAGGACGAATGCCGCCCAAGGCTAAGCGATTTTAGGCAAATTCATAATGATTAATGATAATGATGATAATTCCTTCTAAATTTAGTTGAGATTGTTTTTGTTTTCACCTCTTTTATTTTTTCCAACTGACCAAACAAAAAAATGGTACGAACGCTAATGATAAGTTTACAATAAAATAAACGCTGAAGACAGTATTGTTTTTGTTATAAAACGAAAAGTATTTCATTATCATTATCGAAACATATAAGCACCATTTGCTAAATATTTAAATATTATAAATCTTTTGAAAGAAAATTAAAATTTGTACCAAGAAATCCGTTGATTTTAAAAATGATTTTTTTTGTTTGTTTTCACAAGCGCCCTCTAGCGTCATAAGTTACCGCATTCGGTCATACTATTTTTTACCGAAAATACTAACTCGTGAGTGGCAGGCGTGACTGCGTGACCAGTAACAGGTTGGGGCCAGTAACGCTCATCCCTAGTGGCCCACTGTTTCATTTTTGTTTTTTTAAACAAATGAATTTTTTGTTTATTGTTTGAGTTCGGTTTTGGCCTTTGCCAGTTTAATGTGCGGGGTTAATTATTTTCGGTAAATCGCTTGGCGAAGATCGTGTGGCGGGAATCGTTCTTATTTTCCTAGAAAATCCAACAAATGTGCAATGTGCGTTAAGTCAGCAGCAAATACAAACGAACAATTATGTAAGTGTGTGTGTGTGTGTGCGTGTCTGTTTGGGTGCGCGCTGAATTTGCTATATTTTTATTGTACAACAGACCAGTTGTTGTTGTTGTTGCTGAAGCTGCTTTGGGCAATTGCTAATATCGTTGCTGTTCCCGTTCCCCCACTCACATTTTCGTGCAGTGTCTAATATGTGCCTGTGTGAGTGAGCACCTGTGCGCGCGCTTGTGTGTGTAAGTGCTGTGCCTCCACACAGTGGATCAAAACCAATTAAATGTGTGTTAGAATCAGACATCTTTTGCGCATTAATTGTCTTAATTAACATCAATTGTTGACCAGCAAGCCTAGTTACAGTTGATTGAACCAAATAACTATCAAAGCGTTTAGTTAATTACCATACCGTTGGCTTGTTATTGCTAGCCGTAGAACCTATAGTTATGCCCACTGTGCTGGGGCCGGTATAGTGAGTGTGTGTTTTGATGGCGCATTTGTCATTGCCCTGGCTTTTACGGGGGCAGGAGCGGGATGGCAAGCACAACAACTACAGTTAGCGCAGCGATTGATATTGATGCTGAGATGCCGATGTTGTTGCTGCATCCACACTCAACTCCGTATTCACGGTCAATGTTGCCGCCAACCAGCAAAAACAAAAGCAATGCTGATCGCAATGAGATTAGCAGCGAAATCCGCTCAGTGCATTATGGGATATATATATGTACATATGTATATACATATAAATATATTTATACCCTTGCAGAGTACTATACTTTTAGTCAGAAGCTTAAAACGCAGTGAAGGAGTCATTTCCGACCCTATAAACTATACATATTATTGATCAGCATTAACAGGCGAATCGATCTAGCCATGTTTTAGAGAATACAACATTTTAAGGATTTTTTCATAATTTACATTGTTAAAATTAACTAAGTATGACAAATAAATGTAATTTTAAACTGAGTATGCAGATTTATTAGCCCTGTAAAAACTAGCACAGAAAAGTTTTCCGAATTAAAATTAATGTTTTTTTAGCTTAGTTATGCGATTTTTAAACTTTGATTTGTCTAAAAAAATTTCGATTAAATAATGCGAATAGTTATACCCTTGCAGAGTACTATTTTTTTAGTCAGAAGCTTAAAACGCAGTGAAGGAGTCATTTACGACCCTATAAACTATATATATTATTGATCAGCATTAACAGGCGAATCGATCTAGCCATGTTTTAGAGAATAAAAAATTTTAAGGATTTTTTCATTAATTTAAAAGGGGTTACATTGTTAAAATTAACTAAATTAATTTTAAACTGAGTATGCAGATTTATTAGCCCTGTAAAAACTAGCACAGAAAATTTTTCCGAATTAAAATTAATGCTTTTTTGGCTAAGTTATAATATTTGGAAGATGTTGATTTACCCAACAAAAATATTGATCTAATATACGTAGTTACAATTATTTTAGGGCTTCTTGGAGTTATTCGAAGGACAAAAATGATTGCCAAAAGTCATATATATTTTTGAGATTGATGCACTTTTGCATTCGATGATCATATGGCTTACTGCAATTATTTCTTAATTCTTAATTCATTTTTAATATTTAATTGAATAAAATCCCAGAATTCTGAAAAGGTTTTACTTTTATCTATGTTTAAATTATTTATATCTATAGCTCACATTAGTACAAATTAAATTATTCCGATGAGAGTCATCGATTGGCTGACTCAGGATCGCAATCTTTATCGTGGCGATACGCTGTGTCCACTCAACTTCCTACTATATACTTTAATTTAATTGTTTTGGCTTAGCTGATCATATATATGTATATACTTTCTGCATATCTGAAAAACTTATGTATTTTGGATCAGATACATATATCACAGAGTTGTAATAGCTCTGCGATTGTACAGAATGATATAATAGTTCTGACTAGGATAGCAATTTATAAATTATACGAATCTGTTTGCTGAAACTTTATTCTTTTTGCAAGCAACAATATTGATTTATGATATCAGATAAGATACATACATTGTTTACCCAGTTTCTTTATATATATTTCTGACAACCTTTTTGCTATATTTAATGCGTACTCCGTCATTCGCTAATACCCTTTCTCTGCTTCATTTTCCACAGTTCTAACGTAATCCACAAAAAAATAAATATATACATATACAAAGGAAGACAACAAAAAATGGAAACAAAACATTCCATGTATCATCAGCAGCGCCTTCGACCGAATGTCGGTGGAGGACGTCCAGGAACGAGAGCAGGACCAGGACCAGGAGCCCCACTATGCGCCCACTGTCGTGGCCAGTTGCTGCCCCATCCAGAGGAGCCCATCGTAATGGCGCTGGGCCAGCAGTGGCATTGCGACTGCTTCCGCTGCTCCGTGTGCGAGGGTCACCTGCACAATTGGTACTTCGAGCGCGAGGGTCTGCTCTACTGTCGCGAGGATTACTATGCCCGTTTTGGTGATGCCTGCCAGCAGTGCACCGCTGTCATCACGGGACCCGTCATGGTGGCCGGCGAGCACAAGTTCCATCCCGAGTGCTTCTGCTGTGCAGCCTGCGGCTCCTTCATCGGCGAGGGCGAGTCGTATGCCCTGGTTGAGCGCTCCAAGCTCTACTGTGGCCAGTGCTATGGAAAGCGATCTTGCCAGCCGGCGGATGCCAAGGCAAGGATTACGACGGCCGGCAAGCCGATGCATTCCATTCGCTTGGTGGAGATACCCAAAGACGCGACTCCCGGACTACGCGTGGATGGAGTAGCGCTGGACGATGGCTGTCCCACTGTTCGAATTACGGAGTAAGCATTTATTACATATTCTTTTCTTACTGACTAACCTCCTCATCCATCATCATCCTTGAACCGTGAATCACTCCACTCCACTCTAAGGATCTGTTTCGTTTACTAATACCGCTGGTGATTTTACCGGTGCCTCCTCTTTCTGCATTCCTCCCGAAACATGCTTACTAAAAAAACATAAAAAATTACATTGGGAGCAGCTTGTTCTGCAAGTTCTTCTTCTGGTTGACCTCGGTGGCGGAGCAGTGCTGTGGTGCCTCCTATAGGTAACCCCTCCATTGAGACGAGAAGCTAAATACCAGCTGCAAACTCCTAGACGCTCAATTAACTCTCTGACTTTCTCTATTCCCCCAGGATCGATGTGAATCTGACGAACCTGCACATTGGCGACCGCATCCTAGAGGTGAACGGCACACCCGTGAGCGACTCTTCGGTGGAGCAGATCGACAAGCTTATACGCAGCAATGAGAAGATGCTCCAGCTGACCGTCGAGCACGATCCGGTGCAGGTGTGCCGCTCGTGCAGCCAGGCGGATATCCAGCGAGCCTGTTCCGCATCCACACTGATTCTACCACTGAGCACATCGGCGTCCAGTGTCGAAGTTGGTGGCCGAGAGCGTTTGTATAAGACGCCGAATGGTGAACCCAATCAGGGCACCAAGGCGCGGAAGCTGCGACAGGCTAGCAATGCCTCTGCGACCACCATACCCGTGGCAGCCGCCGCCATGACCCAGCTGAAGGAGAAGGAACGCTGCTCCAGTCTGTCCAAGCTGCTCGACGAACAGCATCAGGCTCAACAGCAATCGGCGCATCCGCAACTCTACGATCTGTCACGGACGCAATCTTGCCGAGTCGTCCAGAAGCCTCAGCGTATCTTTCGTGCCTCCGATTTGGTCATTGGCGAGAAGCTGGGCGAGGGTTTCTTCGGCAAGGTATTTAAGGTCACCCATCGGCAGAGTGGCGAGGTGATGGTCCTTAAGGAACTCCATCGGGCCGACGAGGAGGCCCAGAAGAATTTCATCAAGGAAGTGGCCGTCCTTCGATTGCTCGACCATCGGCATGTCCTTAAGTTCATTGGTGTGCTTTACAAGGAGAAGAAGCTGCACATGGTCACCGAATATGTCGCTGGCGGCTGTCTCAAGGAGCTCATTCACGATTCCACCCAGATCCTCTCCTGGCCGCAACGCGTCTGCCTGGCCAGAGACATTGCCTGTGGGATGAGCTACCTCCACTCGATGAATATCATCCATCGTGACCTCAACTCCATGAACTGTCTGGTGCGCGAGGACCGTTCGGTCATTGTGGCTGACTTTGGCCTCGCACGCAGTGTGGATGCGCCGCGACTCCCTGGCGGAGTGCCTGTATCCTCCAGTGGAAATGGAACGCCCGGTGGTGGCTATGGATCTGGCGCTGGCAGCGATGCGGCCATGTCGCCGGGCGGCACGCTAAGGCGCAGCAAGAGCCGCCAGCGAAGACAGCGATACACAGTGGTGGGCAATCCCTACTGGATGGCGCCCGAGATGATGAAGGGCCTCAAGTACGATGAGAAGGTGGATGTCTTTTCCTTCGGCATCATGTTGTGTGAGGTGAGAGAGGTGACTTTAATGCCCCTTCCTGGCTATGTTATAGCTTTACGTCTTGCAGATAATTGGACGCGTGGAAGCCGACCCGGACTATATGCCCCGCAACTCGGACTTTAGCCTGAATCAGCAGGAGTTCCGCGAGAAGTTCTGCCACTCGTGTCCGGAGGCGTTCGTCAAGGTGGCCTTCGTGTGCTGTGACCTCAATCCGGATCTAAGGCCCTCCTTCGAGACGCTGCACATGTGGCTGCAGCGGCTGGGTGAGCATTTGGCCGTCGAGCGGGTGCCGCCGGAACGGCTGCTGCACGAGATCGAGAACTTTCAGGAGTGCTATGCCAGTTCCGAGGACGCCTTGTCGCCCACCTCGCAGCGCAGCCTGGACAACTTGGACCAGTTGGTGAGTGGCGTGGCGGAATCACCGGATTCGGTTTGCCACCCCTTGGACAAGGATGGGGAAAAGGCGACAGAGACAGAGAAGGAGAATCTGGTGATACGGCCGCAGGATATACCAAAATCACCCCATCTCGGAAAGGATTTCTCGCCGAGCGGCGAAAGACTGAGGGATAGTATGCGGGCGCGTCGTCGTCAGCGTTTCCTTGGCGCCCAGGAGCAGCGTCGCAACCTCACACCCGAAACGGAGTCCAAGGAGCGGGCCTTGAAGCAGGCTCTGCGAAAATGCCGGCCATTTGGCGAAAGGGGCTACTTGGTGGATCTGCGGCCGGGCGGAGAGCTGCAGCTGCAGGATGTGCGAGACCTAAACACCTATTCAGATGTGGATTCTAGTTGCGACACCAGCCTGAATTATCTAGAGGTCAACAGTCTGCCAGCGGCAGCGCCTGCCCCGCAACAGGAGGAGGATGTGGAGAAGCCTACACACAAGGTGGAAATGGTGGAGACGACGTCCCAAACGAACCGCACCGAGCCGCACCGCCTGGCCATCGAGGATATGCGCAACCGGCTGCATCAATGCCGCAATATGTTCGAGCAACTGGAGGAGGAGAGCAGACGGAACCTTAGCCAGACGCAACACTCTATGCGCAACTTCTTCAAGACACCACCGGTGGCCCTAAAGATGTTCCAGCGGCTGGAGCACGAGGCGGCTGCCCTGAATGGCGGCAACAATTGCCCGCCGCCGCCTCCGCCACGGACACAGCGCATCAATCAGACACCGATATTTGGCCGACGGAATCCGCCAGCGGCCGATGTTGTGGAGAAGCAGAAGCTCCAGCAGGCCGAGTCGCTGGAGCATTTGGCCACCAGCGCTGGTGGCAAGCAACTGCCCATGCCGGCACCGGCACCCAAACGCAGCAAGGCCGCCTTGCCAACGCCACCATCGGTTAGCAATCCGAGCAGTAGCCACCACCAGTCCACAAATCAGTCACTCTTTCTGCCGCCCAGTGGGACTGGCACCGCACCGGACTGGCTCCCGAAGAAACACAGGCTTACACTGCCCATTCCCCCGCCTACGCATTCTTCGCCACAGCGAATCGGCAGCACTCACCGGCAGCCTGCGAGCAACAGCAAGAGCAAACCGCTAAAGCCAACATCCAGTCGGACGACCCATGGAAACACCGCCAGCAGCAACATCACCCCCTCGCCCACCAGGAACAGCAGGCCTGGATCGCCCAGCAAGCATCTGGCGCAGAGGCACACCGCCGCCACGGCCCAGCGTCTGACCAATGGTAAGGATTGCCATATTTCTGGGATAATTAATTCTCAAAACTTTGCCTCTACCCAGTGAACGCCACCATTCAGCAGCAGCAGCAGCAACAGCAGCAGCAGCAGCAATCCTCGAGAACGACACGCCTGAACATCCTGAGTCCTGAGAAAGTGCATCGCCTTGGCGCTCGACTTACTGATCAGAAGCTGAAGCTCCGCGAAGAGGCGGCCAACGGAAGCAGCGTAGCCTCGTCGGGAGTCAGTAATGGTGGCCATCGGTCTAGTGCATCGGCAGGATCAGCATCAAGTGCGGCGACGGGCGAAAGGAGACGGCGGGTGGCCCCATCGCCGCCCGTGCGTACCCATTTTAACACGCGCTGCTAGCAGGCGGTCTAAAGAAGCCACTGGACGGCTCAGGAGGCTGTTCCACTCAGGGAGCAAATGGAAAATGGCTGTGGTAAGTACTAAGCCTTACTATACCAAGGAGTCTTATCGGTCTATCTTACAAATTCCGAAAAATAGAATATGGATACAGATATGTGCATATATAAATACCAAAAGATGTACATAGTTAAACGATTTGAAACAGCTTCAGAAAACGTCTGAAAGTATACTTTTAAGATCCATTTTAAAGTCATTTTAATAAGGGACTTTCCTTAAATTATATATGTATAGGAAAATTTATTATAGATTTAATAACTATGCCTTTTTCACACAGGAAGCCGGACAATTCAAGATAGTTGCACTGTTAAAAGCGCACATGAAGCACGCCCTTTCCCTAAAACAACAGAAAACATTCCAACAAGAAAAATCAAGAAACCCACTAGGATACTCGCAAAACAACAAAAAATCAAACGAAATACGAAAGAAAAGCGAATAATCGAAAAATCTACAAGATTCCAGAAATCCATTCCGAAAAACGAAATCGATGGCAGTTTTAAAAAAACTGTTAAAGTTTACCGAGAGAGAGAGAGAGAGGGAGAAAGAGAGAGAGAGAGAGGTAGCTAAACAGAAAATAACATAATGCTCAATAATAAGCCCAGCAAAAACTGTTATACCCAGCTCTCTAAAAAGTTTTTATCTTACTTTATTTATGTTTTTTTAACATTTGACAATAGTCTTAAGCTGATGATTACCGTTATAACGAAGGTTAAGTGCCTGTTAAGCAAGGAAAATCCAACAAGTTGCAATATTTACATACAAATTTGTATAGAAATTTGAAAGTGAATAATAATTATAGTATTTAAGATTACAGGGTATTATATAACAGCGACTACTACTGTTCCGACTAACTAACTACTAACCTAACGAACTCAACTAAACTGCTAAGCAATTACTTTTTAAACCTACTATGGTCTGCAAAGCGATAAGGACCCGTTTATATATTACCTGAATAATTGCTTACTTGGGTAATGTATAGAAAGTCCCTTAAGAGAAAGAGAGATAGAGAGAGAGGAAGAGAAAGAGAAGAAACGAACATTGTGCCATGAAGCTGAGCGAAAGAAGAATCTGATGAAGGAAAAGGGATAAACCTTTTGGGGAAGGAACCCACCCACAAAACAAAAGACAAACGACAAAGGAACGAAAAGAACTTTTATTAGGTAAATTGTGGTTTACATATTTTTTGATATACACCATACATATATATTATATATGATATATATTCCATAATTATATACATTAACTATAATCGTATTCCATGTTAGTGCTTAAATCTAATTTATTATTTATCGATTCTCCCATTCGCCCGTCCTCGTCCCCATACCCCATTTCATGAACAATAATTAACCATGCTAAGGGACATATTTTTTGTATCGACGAGATAAAGTCTAACTTGTAAAAAAAAACAAAATGCAATAAAAGTAAAGTTATATAAATAATTCTATGAACTTGTATTGCTCAAAGGCATTTTAGTTTTAAGAGACACAGACACATACCCAATGCTAACTGTTATACAAAATACGCACACGCTCAAGCCTAATAACTGTTATACTGTTGAATCTGTACTTTATGAATATATGTATATGTATACACTATACATGATCGAATTAAAACGCTTTGCTATTTACAGCTTCTGTATGACACTTGAGCGGCGCCACTATTATGCCCGCTGCTGTACATAGGCCAGTATAACAGTGGCTCCGCCCAACTGATCTAGCATTTAATAATCTATTATACACAATATACAACAAAAACATGCGATATTTTTATATGCTGTTGATAGTGAAAGTGTAATGTGTTGTATTTTGACTACCCAGCTTCCCAACTCTTCGTTTTAATCTTAAAAGCCTTTTTTGTCAATGAATATAAAAGAATAAATAAAAACAAAACAAACAGAATGCAAAGAATTTAAGTTGTGGTTTTAATAATAGATTGAATTTAAAAACTGTTATGCCTTTTGCCTAAGTGTGACCAGCTGTCTTGGATGAAAAAGAGCGCTCTTCAGCTTTATTAACGGAAAACCTGGCGACCACACTAAGGCGACCGTGTGCGGTATTTAAAATACTTTGTGGCATTTTGCGCGTCGTCTTTCAACAATATTTTTCTGACAATTGAATTCAATTAAATCAAAAACAATGGAGACGCCGCGCCGAAAGCTGCGCGACTTGCATCTGGAGAATGTGCAGAACAGCAGCACGCCCATCCGCATTCCGCCCTCACCGATGCTGAAGACGCTCCTGGGCCACGGCACCGGCGTCAGCGTATATCGCCTGGACCGGTCGCCGCGCCAAGGCCAGATACGTTCTCCATGGGCGGTTAAGCGGATCACCCAGAATACGCGCATCAGGAAGGATCCGTTGTTCAATGAGCGGATCGTCTACGAGGCCGAGATCCTGCGGTAAGTCCATCTCAGCCGGAGCGGCACTGGCCTATATTCCAGCCGGCGCACGGGAAAGCGTCTTTCCGTTGGTGTGCGTGTGCCTCCTGTTCGTGGGTGTTTGTGTGTGTGGTGCAATGCGTTGTTAAGGGTTTGATGCTGCGTGTGCCATAGGGTGATTCGGTTTATGGGTCAATCTCAAATAAAAGGGTGTTTCGGAAGAGGATGGAAATAAACTTGAATCTCAATAAAATACTTTAAAATTGAATTGAATTGAAAAAATGAATAATCTTTAAAATCTATCTTTGCAAAATTAATATTGGCAATGACTTTTACATAATAATTCTTAAATCTACCTTGAATTTCATATGAATGCATATCATAATATAAATATGAATAATGTATTTTTCATAACATTTGGTTATCTTAAAAAAACACGCAAGGTTGACCCAAAGGATTTCCAACTAGAGATTTCGCTAATCGGAATGTACTGATTTGTTTTGTTTGAAATAAGAAAAGTTAATTTTCTTATTAAATATTAATTTTTATATTATTAGTTAGCAAAAGTATAGGGGGTTTTATATAATTTTAAAAGGCCGACACGTTGATTCACCCTAATGTGCATGCGTAGCTGGTGTTTAGTGCCTCCTGCGATGTACACACTGCATCCAAGATGCGACGTTATCCTAGAAATAACAATAGTTATCCGAAACTATATTCCAGGAAGCTGCAGCATCCAAATATCGTGGGATTCCGTGGCGTGGTCTCTACCGGCAAGGGCGTGGACACTCTAGCCCTAGAATTGTGCTCCACATCGCTGGGCTCCATTCTCGAGGAGCGTCATGACGAGGACCTCGGTCCGCTGCCGCCGAAGAACACACTGAAAATGATCATGGACGTGGCCATGGCCTTGGATTTCCTGCACAACGATGCCCGCCTGCTGCATGGTGACCTCAAGTCGTTCAATGTTTTGGTCAAGGGCGAGTTTGAGATCTGCAAACTCTGCGATTTCGGTGTATCTCTGCCGCTGGACGAGAACGGCGAGGTAAATAAGCACAAGAATCCCGAGCTTAACTATGTGGGTACGTTTTTTTGCTTTAACCCAGGAGGGAAAGGAATATTCGCTCATGGAGAAATCTATTTTAGGAACAAGCCTTTGGTCTGCTCCGGAGGTCATTGACGAGGTGGAGATCATTGACAGCAAGGCTGATATCTTTAGCTTTGGCCTGGTTATCTACGAGACCCTGGCATTGGTGCCGCCACATACCCTAGAACTGGATGCAGCGCTGGGACAGGACCTGGAGAATTCCCACGACTTGACTGCCGTCGATCATGAACACCTGCAGCGCAAGCTGCTTAATTACTCCGACGTCGAAGCCAATGGCGAGGCGACGGCTGATCCTTCTAACGACACCGAAATGAGTCACGAAAATGAGACCATGCCACAAGAGGCGGAACATGATGATGATGATGACGAAGAAGATGAAGATGACGATGATGGTGAAGAAGAGGGTGACGTCTCTGACTTCTCACTGAACAATCTACAATCAGCGTATGGGACACGCCCGCCACTGCCCGTTGCCTTCCAGCTCAGCGACGACTACAACTGCATCGTGGAGCTATTCTATCTATGCACAAATGCTCTCAGCGAGGATCGACCTGCGGCCAAAACCATTTGGCAATGCCTCGAGAATAATACTGCGAATATGACTACAACGGACTGATTATTCATTGTCGTGAGGTAACCACAACAGAAGCTTCCTCTAATTATCTGGATTTCCTTTAAATATAACTTTTTTTTGTTGTGCCAAATCTGGCACTATATAAGTTAGGTTTAATGTACATAATGTATTCCAGATGGAAGCCAAGAGATTTAAGCAATGAAGAAAGGCAACATAATTCTTCCAAAAAGCACTATATAAATAATTAAACATGGCCACAAAAAGGGAATAACGATTATATCAAACCAAGAACCTTACATTAACCTCCATACATTCGAACATATAACAATATGTATGAAAAATCGTACGGTGTTATGCGTTTTCTTATCTTAAGGACTTTGATTAAATCCTCTAATTTTAATCCAGTTTGAATAAACTAAGAAATGAGCTTTGACCATGCGTACATTAAGTATGAAAACTAAGCATAAGACTTGTTGGAAATGTAATTTCTTTCGTGTGCTATATTGGTCCGCAGGCTTTGAGTTTTTTTCAGAAAAAAAACAACTCGGTTACAAGGTTTGCTTATGATTTATTAAAAAATAATAATACATACATCAAAATATATAGGTTTTCTTTTCGCTTTGTTGCTTTCCTTTCGTATATATATTTATATAGGGGGTGTTCGGGATACATATAAGGTTCGTTTTTGAGCTCCTTGTGCCCAGCTAGGGAAGGGGTGAAGGCTGTTCCGGGTTACGCATTTATATATAGTTTTCAGATTCGCTTGCTATCTAGGATATTTATATTCCGTGTTGTAAGTTAGTGCCTTGCCTTGTCGCGTTACAGCAAAGCAGTGTCTTTTCACGGTTTGTTTTGATTTTGTTGAATAAAGTGGACACAGACTTCTCAATTAGATCTAAGCAGATACGTGTTTTATATTGATTTTGTATAATATTCTCTTGTATATATATATATATTATAAAAAGTATCGAAATTGCTCTCTTGAAGGCAAAGGCGCTATTGGTGTTTTTCGTTTTTCGTTTTTCTACTTGTTAACTTTATCTCCACAGTTTTGTGTCTTTTTCTTATAATTCTTTTGAAATACAATTACTACAACAAATTGAACGAGTATTGGACAATATTATTAAACTTCCTTTTTTCAATTTATTTTATGTTTACACAAATAAAATAAATTTAAAAAAGTACGTCACAAAATAATAATAAAAAACATTATAAAAATTAAACAAAAAAATACAGTGTTTGTGTATATATATATATATAAATAAGATAATAAACAAATAAAATGAAGCTGGGATAAAAAGTACACCGAGTTTAATCGTCGTCTCACACGTTTAAAAAATATAGATTCTGCTACATCAAATGGAATGTTTTTGGTTATAAATTAGTCGTGCTTGTATATATGATCTTTGTTTCGTTTTGAATTATTAATTAAGTAAATTTCTCTTTCTATATATGTATCTCTCTCTCTTCTCTTCTGTCTTCTGCATTTGATGCTCCGCCTCTGCCACTATCTCACTCTAATCTAAGGCAACAAGCAAGAATAATAACAAGACGTAAATCTTACAAATTTAAATACACACAAAAAAATATTTATATATATCGATATATTCCGAGGGTGGGAGAAAAAAGGGATGACTGACTGAACTGCATTCAAAAAACGTGCAAATGAATAGTTGTTGGGAGAGTTTTGAGGAATGTTAATGAGGGGACGAAATCGAAAACTCTGCACAAATAATAATTGGATCGTTTAGCTCCCTACTCACTGCAAAAGCCAAACAAAATGCTGCCATTACGGGATATGCTCATCACTTTTCAGACACCCTTCGCAAGGCGCAGTCGTTGAGCAGTGACAGTGAGTAAAATAGTTTTGTAATCAATTATAGTGTCCTAGCTTGCATAATTTTAAATAATTGACTCGAGAGCTTAAGAACAACACTTTTTCTGGTCTTTTTCTGGCTTGCCTTTGCGTAAGTCTTTCCGATCTGATTTGATCTGTTAATGAATATGATGCTGATGATGGCTAGCTAATCCTACAAGTGCAGCACTCCATCCTTGACATCGCTGGCCATTATCGTGGACGCATTGGAGGCTGCCTGCTGGTGATGCGACGAAGGTGATGAGGATAATGGTTGCGCCGACGTCGCCACCTGGTTGTGATTGTGATTGCCAGCGGATGTGGATGTGGGACTCTCGTCGAGTGTCACCCCCGTGAGGTCAACGATATCGTCCTGATCGTCATGCTCAATCTCGTCGGAGGTGTTGGTATTATTGGTGTGATGCGATCCACTCGAAAGCTGACTGTTCCGCGAGAAGGAGCCGCGATGTGTCGAGGTTAGAGTGCGCTGATTTGCCGGCTTCACGGTAATGATTAGATTAGAGCTATTGGCCACCATCATGTCGGTCACCTGGTCGAGGGTCTTGCCAGCCACCTCGATGCCATTGACCTCGATTACCTCATCGTTGACGGCCAGCAAACCGGTACTCTCTGCCAGACCCCCCGGCACTAGGCGGGATATAAAGATGCCCGGCTGTTTCTCCAATCCGCTAGCCGTTACCCGTACGGAGGTCCCATCTCTGATGTAGAAGCCCAACGGCTTGTCGCTGCCATGCTTAAGCAATCGCACCCTTCGATGTGTTTCTGGGACAATATCCACATCTATAATGGCCGACACCTGACGGAAGTCGTGGGGAATCGATATCGACGGCGCCTTGGTCTTTACGGGCGTGTGGCCCATCAATATGCTGCCGATTAGATTTCGCGGCTTCATCGTCCCAAAGCCAGAGTACTCGTTCAGGTCATCTGCGGATAGAGGATATAGACGTGGTTAAAGGGGCAGTGCTTGTAGGGTTCTTACACACTCTCACCTTTTCGCTGAACTATAACTCGCAGCAGCGGACGTGCCGTCTTCAGGGCCCGGAGAAAATTATCGTCGTTGTTGATCGGCAAAAGATCGTTGTCCCGCGGATCGATGTACAGGATGAGAAACTGAATGTTGGCCAACTTGTGGAGCTGTTCGACGAGAGCCGCAAACTTGTCGAAGCTCTGCTCCGTCTCGTTCCTCTTGAAACTCCAGCGCCTGAACTCCGCATCGAACTATAGAATAAAAAGTGGGTTTAACAACATTCATGATGATTTTAAACTAATAACTAGACTTTTGTAGTTTAAGAAGTTGCTTAAGCATTTATAATTAAACTGTTTATAGAGTGTTTTTCTTTCTCTCCCTCAGAATAATCAATCAGACTCCACAGGTAGTTGTTAATGCATTTAAGCTGAGCCAAGGGCGAGGCCACTACAAAGTAATATATGGATATCGAAGTCTCCAGTTTCACATCCCAGAAGTAATTGATCGCTTGTTTAGTTAGGAATCCAATTTCTATGCGCATGAATCAGCAGCTCAGGCATCGGAGAAAGAAATAGGGGCGTGGATGGCGGTGGGGCGGCGCGTGGGGTTCTCTGGCGACCCGGATCCGTACTCGGACTCACCTTGGATTTCACCTCGATCAGAACTGTCTCCCCTGCGGCCGCCGTGGCAGAGGTTGTGTTTATCTTGTTCTTCGACATTTTGCCTTGCACTGCTCCACGCAATTTTCACTCAACACAACACCCAGTTGCCAGTTCAGTTTCTCTGGGAAAAAAACCAAGCTGATCGTTCAGGATCGGAGGATGGAACCGAGCCCGTGGCAAACCGAAACGAACCGATGGCGGGAGCACCGAAATTAAAAGGCTGCGAGGCCAATAAATTAGAGTTAGAAATCTAAATTAAAAACTAATTAAATAAAAGAAATGGATGGAGGTGGATGGTATTAAATCTCGTTCGGGCGAGTGTTGGTATTATTTATCGGCACGGTAAATACATTTTTATCGATATGGCAAACGGCTAATCCTAGTGCTCAACAATGCCAAATGTTTGTATTATTTTAGAACTGAGACATATTGCGAGGCGAATTTTATTTTTATAAGTGTGTATCAAGCAAATATAATTAATTTATTAACAGCCGAACTTTAGAAAAAATCCACAAAAGCTGATTACTGTCCATCGATATATCGATTGTGTATGAGCAGCCCTGAACGCGCATTAGTGTAGAGACAGTTTGTTTGCTTCGGCTATGTGGACCTTGCAATGCGCTACAACTGGAAGGTTGTCGTTAATTAAGCCATAAATATAGCATTTTTAAATAAATAAAGGCAGCTTTGACCTATAATTTGTAATAGTTATTAGTTTTCAAAGTTTTTTCCTGTAAATAATCTTTAAAAGTGTTGTTCAAGCAAACGACCCGAGGTAGTCGCACAGACCCTACAAGTAGGGCATCGCTTAAGACGAGGGTTTCTGTAAATGGAAACTGTTTTTGTGTGTTGTTGTTGAGCGTGAAGTGCAAATGAATTGGGAATTTGTTTAGAAAAACTCCACAACAACAACTGCGAAGGCGAGCGATTCAATTTCAAAACAATAACAAATCTAGAAGCCTATTGCAAGTTTGTCGAAAATCAAAACACGGCAAATCTGAGGCCCGCTGGACGAGTCATCATCGCGGAGCGTGTGAAAACAGCAGAGGAAAACACAAACAACCGAGAAAGAGGAGGGAGAAGTACTGAGAAGGAGGTGGGATAGGAAAAGCCAGGTAGCCAGTGACCACTTTTCCGCACCAACGAGACGAGGAAAGCGTCCTCCAGCGTCCGAAACGCGGGCGGTGAAATTGCGACGTTCGACGCACTCGGTAGCTCAGCTGCAGGAATAAGCTGACGCGAAACCTTGAGACACACACACACACGCAGGCACTCACGTACGCACACAAGCCAAGAGCAGCAGCAGCAGGAAGTGGAATTGGAACTGGAACTGCAGGCACCATGAGTTCGGTAAAGTAAACAAAATGTGAAACAGAGCCTGAGAATGTCGTCAAGCATTGGACTGGCGGCAAAAGCTGTTTCCGCTCCGCATTTACATATATCCCAATGCCAGGCAGCCATGGGATATAGAGAAAACCTTGAAACGATCTATTTGTAAAGAACGGTTTTCCGAGTGCAATGCTATTTTCCAGCATTTGCTGGGGACTTCCAATTAATTCCAGTTCAGTAAAATAAGTTAAAAACTCCTATAAAAGGAGTTATCATTATATTACATTATATTAATGCAAACATCTACTTAAACTTAAAATAGCTATTTAAATCGACAATAGTAGCTTATGGGCGGATAGTTGTCATGTTTCTTACTTTCCATTAAAGATATAGTAGTTTAGTTTAGTTTTTGGAAAATAATTATTTTATCCCTTTATGGTTTATTGATTTTTTTTCGTTTAAGAAAGCAAACTAATCGATTTAATTGTTCCTTTTTGCAGCAATACTCGAATGTGGAGAACCTATCGCCGCAGACGATACGTCAGGTGATGCGGGAGCTGCAGGAGATGGAGACTACGCCGCCCGAGGGCATCAAGGTGCTTATCAACGAAAGCGACGTGACGGATGTTCAGGCGCTAATCGACGGACCCGCCGGCACTCCGTATGCCGCCGGCGTTTTTAGGGTCAAACTGACGCTGAACAAAGATTTTCCGCAGACGCCGCCAAAGGCGTACTTCCTCACCAAGATCTTTCATCCTAATGTGGCCGCCAATGGCGAGATTTGTGTAAACACACTAAAGAAGGACTGGAAGCCGGATCTGGGCATCAAGCACATACTGCTCACCATCAAATGCCTGCTGATTGTGCCGAATCCGGAGTCAGCGCTGAATGAGGAGGCCGGCAAGATGCTATTGGAGCGTTATGATGACTACTCGCAGCGGGCGCGGATGATGACGGAGATCCACGCCCAGGTATGATCTGTAAATATTGCAAAAAATATCTATTTATAATTATTTTCTTTAACTTCAGCCGGCAAAGTGCGGTGCGGGTGCTGCTGGCGATGCCAAAGACGATGATGGACCCTCGACGAAGAAGCATGCGGGCCTGGACAAGAAACTGCAGGACAAGAAGAAAGAAAAGTTGCTCAAGGAGAAGAAGCGCATGCTGAAGAGATTATGAGAGGCATAAGGCGGCGTTCCATGGACTAGTTAATCAACCAGGAGCAGTAGCAGAAGAGGCAGCAGAAGCAGTTGAGGGAAGCGAACGGAAACAATGGGGTGGGCAATGGCGCGGAATGGCGGCAGGATCGGAGCTATGCTGGATATAATGGAGCAGGCGCGCTATGAAATTTTACACTGATCTGAACAAAAAAGAAGGAAAATTAGAAAACAAAAAATGAGAACAAGACACCGATGATATCCAAACGGACATAAAAGCTGAGGCGGTAATCCGATAGGAATCGGTAGAGGAGAACGGGAAGGAAGAACCACTCCAAAGAAAAGTGCATCCAGTTACCATATACATATAAACGATTATTTAAACCACACACTTTTGTGACAGATGGCACCGGTCATCCGGAGGAACTAGCATGTAGAAACAAAAAACAATTCAAACCAGAAGCAACCAAGAGAAATGGAAAACGCAAACCATCTCCTAAGTTATTAATGTAGTTCTCTTTTTGTCTAACACACCTACACACCTACACACACACACACACACACATACAAATGAGCTATATCCTAGCATAATTTATGTAATTAGATTATAGAAAACAAGGAGAACATTATCGCCTCATACATACCACCATCACCTCTCCAAGTCTCTCTAAAAAGCATCACCAACTTACCTTAATTATCGTTTAACTAACGGGGATGCACAATCCCTTTTTTTAAATTTTGTGTCCTTGATTTTAAAGTTGTATCCATTTAGTTTTTAAACTGAATATTTCCTTGATTTGTCTTGCATAGAATTAAGTTACAAACAAAAACAAGCACACACACATCCATCAAACAATCACAAAAATACATCAAATTATAAGCGAAAATGAAAGAGAAACTGTAAGGGAATCGCTGGCAGATGCTGTAGGGATTTAGGCTAAGTACTTATAGCTCTAACAACACTCGATGCGAAATGAAGCAAAGCGGAGAGAAACGAAACGGCACGAAAATGGCACGGTGATAAGTGCTTTGAAAATATCCTTATCCTTTCGTCCGCCATATCCTTTGCACTGATAAGGACTTCTACGGCTCTCTATCCCTTTCTTTCTCAAATCCTCTCTCACTGTCAGTCATTCTCTTTTTTCACATCTTTCGTTCGAACATTCTTTACCACACATACACACACACACACACACACACACATAATCGAGGGCGGAGAGTAAAAAAGCAATAAAAAGAATAAAATTCCAGAAAATAAAACAAAAAGAATTTTGATATCGAGATAGTTTTTAACCTGTTTTAAAAACTCATTTCAATCAGTTCATAATCGCAGTTCAATATTTTTCTGAACGAAGTTATAGGACTACAAGTTTAAGTAATACCACATATCTATGAAAAATATATTTCTTTTTAGGCTTTTTGGAATTGAAAAACGAAGCTAGGTTGGTAATTTTCTAAAAATGTATATTCTATTCTTATAAATATTTATTCAATGCGCATCTGTGCGATGTCTGTATGTTCATACGTGAGTACATGCAATAATTAAATCAGCTTGACTGCCAGACAAATTGATCTTCTTATCAGCAAGCTATAGAAAAGTTCGAATTGTGGAAATGGAAAAAAATGGGAACCCCATGAATTACAGCTTTTATGAGAATGCCGCATCTAAAGTTAGAAAGTTCTTATACCCTTGGAATTTGCAATTCAATTAAAGGATCGTATTGGTAATCGGTCGCAACTAAGCTTAAAATATTCCCATTTTTTGAATCAATATTTTTATATCATTTAAAAACATAACATATATGTATATTTTTATATCAATATTTTTATATGACATTTTGATTTCAATAATTTGACGCCTTGACTGCGTTACAAGCGTTTGATTAAAATTATAACCATTTTTTTCAACCGATATTTATCTATATTTTTATATTCAAATTTTTCGACAAATCAAAATTTAAAATCTCAAAACTCAGCCAAAAGCGCATTAATTTGAATTCGGAAAGCGGCAGTATGTTAATTTTTAGCAGGTTAACAAAACTGCATACTCCATTTAAAATTTGAATTTTGGTCCTATTTTTTGAAAAAAAAACAAATTTCGGCCGGAGGTGGCTTAAAATATTCGCCTGTTGATGCTGATCAAGAATATATATGATGTATAGTGTCGGAAAAAATTATAATATCCTGCAATGGTAAAATTTTAAAGGTCAAGGCATTTCGGTTTGTGATCGTTATCTTAGTCCGTATATATTCGTATTTATTTAGCTATATATATAGTTAGTTTGCTTAGTTTGTTGCACTTGTAACTAATCCCTTGGGTTATCGCTTCAGTCGCCAGATGATAAGGCACAGCAGATCCAGCTTTCCCGATTCGCTTTGGAAAAGCAATCCGATTGCGATTTCTGCAGAATCAGCAGAATTGGCATATATAAAGGGCTACCCACCGAGAAAGGTACTCAGTTAAAAAGTGAAATCCGTCGCGATGCTGTCGTTACTCCCCATATTACTGGGACTCTCCGTTCTCGGTGCGCTGCCCCGGGATGTAACCGGAAGATGTGTGCTGAAAACAGAAAGTCCTTCGCCCATGGTTGTTACAAGTTTCGGTTCAAAACATTTAGCCAACGGCAAACCGAGTGTATATGAACGAGAATATGGCGAATATATTGAGATGTATTGCGGAGGCGGATTCAATTACCATAGGTTTGTTTTTTTTGTTTTTTTTTTTATAATGCTTTTTATTTAACCTTGCCAGGGGTTAATTATTGAACGAGAACTGTCTGGCAGACATATAGAGTTACATGAATTTAATAAATCATATTTATATTCTTTTAGATCTTATGGTGGCATAATCAGCACATCTAATACAAAAATTAGGCTACAGTGTCAATCAAATGATCAGTTTTATTCTATAACTAATGATGATCATATAGCCAATATCCACTGTATGACAAGTACTAATCGAATGTTTGAGAGTGCGATCAAGTTACCCAATTGCGACAGTGATATGACCCTCGTCGTGGGCCACGATTTCGGTGACATCGGATCCCTAAAGAATGCCGCCATTTGCTATGACATTCTTGGAGCTAAGCTGAAATATTTTAGTTACACGACATTCCCCTCGAAGAATCGAATTGTCGAGAAGGTAAGAGCTAAGGAATTTTTATTTATTTTGCAAAAGTTACAAAATTTGTACTATTCTTCCGTTTACAGACCCAAGTTGGCCAGTTAAATAGTCTAACATTGGATACAAATGTGACTAACTTCAAAAATCTGATAAGGAGCATCGAGTGAGTAGGGATAGCAACAGCTTATAAGGGTTTCAGATAAGCTTTAAAAAGAGAGTGCCCTTTCCTTTATACCTATGTTCAATGTTGCAAACAATTTATAATTCGTAATTTTTGTTCTTTCCTTGACCAGCCAAAGTGAAATAGACAACTTCATATCGACGGAAAAGCAATTGGCATCGCTTTTTGTCAGCAACGCCTTCCAGTATGCCAGCCTGGCTCCGGATGATCAGCAACTGGACGATTTCGAGGGCTTTCTGGGCACCGTCTGGCTCCGTGTATTGCGCTCCGGCAACTGGGCTCACTGGCTATGGGCTCTGCGCGCGGCCACCGATGCTGGCGGTCACTTCGACGTCCGGATGGGTGTCTCCGGAACGCTGCAGATACCTGCAAACACTCTGGGTCCTTGCAACGTCAGTCGCCCTGTGATTATCGAACTGAGGGATGGCACCTCCCTGCCAGTGCCCGCCTACATCTGGGCGCATGTGCGCGCCGTGGAGGTCACTGGAGGAGCCGGAGACGAGTTTGTACTCATCGGCCACAATTCACCATTCGTACGTAGTCGAAATTCGGCTGAAATTTGAAGAATGTTAACGATGTAAATGTGCTTCTCATGCGGATCTTTATTCTTCGCAGTTCCGCAGCGACAACTCCCTGTGCTCCTCGATGTGCAAGCAGGTGCCGTGGCTTAGGAGCAGCCTTTTCGCCGGCCTCCATGAGTTTCCCGCCTACGGCCTGGTTCAGTGCTGCCGTGTGAAGGATGTGGCCCAGAAGCTGGACAATTTCCCCGGGCATATATCAACACGGTTCTCACGACCACGACCACGACCGCTGCTCCGGTTTATGAAGACACAACGGAAATTGACGATTATAATATTCCACCTCAATATGAATATTGAAGACAATATAAAGCCATTGTTGTTAGCTCATTTTTTTGAAATTAATCCTTTATTTTCTGCATTAGTTATTAGCTTTCTATGTTTTGATTATAGAAGAAACTGTCATATAAAAATAAAGATAATTATCGGCTCAAAGAATGATATTTTTGATCAGCATGATTTTTTCAAAAAATTTAAATTTTAATGGGTTACATCGTTAAAATTGTCATTACAGTTTTTCATTCACCGTTTTGCATTTTCTACTATTTTTAACGATCGTTTGTTTGGCACCTATATGTTATAGTAGTCCGATCTCATAAAATTTTACACAAAATTCTAGATTAGTATATAATGGCTTTTTTATCATAGGTATATAAATATATATAGTCCACCGATTCGCCATGCTCCGATTTATATACTAGTAAAATTATATTAAAGAATAATTCCATAGTTTCATACAAATGCTCTTAAATTTGTTCAAAAACAAATCTCTGACATCTGTGCATATGATTCCCAACTGGTTCTAACATCCCCGGAACGAAGTGACTTCTACCGGCCACGTCTCAGAAATGTGTTGTGTTAAAAAAGTTGCAAGTCATTGTTTATTAGTGTTCAAAGTTAGTAACTGATCATACATACTTACTGTTCATAGATACTTACTGATCATAGTTAATTAGTGATCATACTTACTTACTGTTCAGAGTTACTCACTGCTCATAGATACTTACTCTTCAGAGTTACTTACTGCTCATAGTTAATTACTGATATAAATCGTCCGATTGTTCCTATGGCACCTATATATATGTATGCATATAGTCCACCGATTCGCCATGCTCAGATTTATATTGTAGTAAAATTATATAGAAGAATATCTCCATAGTTTCATTGAAATAGCTTTAAATTTGATCCAAAACTAATCTCGATCATCTGTGCATATGATTCCCAACTGGTTCTAACATCTCCGGAACGAAGTGACTGCTACCGGCCACGTCTCAGATATGTGTTGTGTTACAAAAGTTGCAAGTCATTGTTTATTAGTGTTCAAAGTTAGTAACTGATCATACATGCTTACTGTTCATAGATACTTACTGATCATAGTTAATTAGTGATCATACTTACTTACTGTTCAGAGTTACTCACTGCTCATAGATACTTACTGGTCATAGATATGTATTGATTATAGATACTTACTGATCATAGATACTTACTCTTCAGAGTTACTTACTGCTTATAGTTAATTACTGATCATAGTTCTATAAATCGTTCGATTGTTCCTATGACAGATATATATATGTATATATATAGTCCACCGAATCGCCATGCTCTGATTTATATACTAGTAAAATTATATTTAAGAATAACTCCATAGTTTCATTTAAATGCTCTTAAATTTGTTCCAAAACAAATCTCGCACGTCTGTGCATATGATTCCCAACTGGTTCTAACATCCCCGGAACGAAGTGACTTCTACCGGCAACGTCTCAGAAATGTGTTGTATTACAAAAGGTGCAAGTCATTTTTTACAAGTGTTCAAAGTTATTAACTGATCATACACACATACTGTTCATAGATACATACTGATCATAGTTAATTAGTGGTCATACTTACTTATTGTTCAGAGTTACTCACTGCTCATAGATACTTACTGGTCATAGATATATACTGATTATAGATACTTACTGATCATAGATACTTACTCTTCAGAGTTACTTACTGCTCATAGTTAATTGCTGATCATAGTTCTATAAATCGTCCGATTGTTCCTATGACAGATATATATATGTTATATATAGTCCACCGATTCTCCTTGCTTCGATTTATATGCGAGTAAAACGATATAGAAGAATAACTCCATAGTTTCTTAAATTTGTTCAAAAACGAATCTCGCACACCTGTGCATATGATTCCCAACTGCTTCTAACATCCCCGGAACGAAGTGACTTCTACCGGCAACGTCTCAGAAATGTGTTGTATTACAAAAGTTGCAAGTCATTGTTTACCAGTTTTCAAAGTTATTAACTGATCATACACACTTACTGTTCATAGATACTTACTGATCATATATACTTACAGGTCATAGTAACTTACTGTTGAAAGATTTCCTTTACATTTAACAACCGTTTCAATCGCAGTTATATTTACAGCATTCCAATTTTTAATAAAACCAAAAAGTAAATTCTACAATAATAAAACATAGCTTTGAATCAAATTAGATTAAAATATGTTAAAAACTCTCAAAGTTTTATATTTCTAAAAAATCTTCCGATTCTTCCTATGACAACTATATGATATAGTCGTAGAAAAGAGTGAGAGTTACTAAGTAAGTACTAAATGCAAACTTTCATTGAAATACCTTAAAAACTGAGAAACTAGTTTGCGTAGAAACGGACAGACGAATTGACAGACGTTGCAGTAAGAATTTAAGAGTATTTCTCCTAGTTTCGCCATACTTTTGACTTAAATAGTTCTTTAGGTATTTTAAATATTTTCATTAATATTAGATCGATGCCCTGAACTCCTTCTTTTTAGCATCAGTCTAAATACTAATTGAAGAAGATCTTCCATAGATTCACTCAAATTTTGTCAAATTATTTATTTAACCATAACTATTTATTTCGATAAGGATAAAATGTATACCCATTTTGGCCAAATGAAACGTGGCAAAGGCCACAGAGCGACTAAGGGCCATTAACGCCAGGATGGCGGGGAATTCAGCGGGCGCGAGGAGGTAAAAAGGCAAAGTCAAAGGCGAAAGGAATTTCTTGATTAAGTAATAGGAATGCCGGGTCGGTACAGAAATGTCAGCGACGGCGACAGCCATGAGTGTATCGTTTTATCTCCGACTTTGACATTTTCGTCCTGGCTCTGACAGTGCTGGCAGTAAAGACTGCCTTTCGACCTCACCGCTGGCCGTACGTACTATTTGATTTTTAATAAAAAAGTGAAATATATATATATATATAAGCCAATCGAATAGATACTGTTTACCTTTATTTTCTTAGTTCTGATTCGGAAATTCTGTTTAATTATACGAATGACGATGCCATCTCTTAAACTGCGATTTGTAAAACTTTGCATAAATTATGCATAAAACAAAATAAAAAAACAAACTCAAACAATGCGCAATTGCTCCCCAGAGACTCATGTCGCTGCCATGCCCCCTTCAACCGGCTTTTTCTGAGGGCATTTAAGCCGATTTAAGTCGCTTAATACACATGCACAGGACACAGGTCCTTCAGCGAATACAAGGGTATATATGCGTCCGTGTATGGCCTGTAAAACTCAGAAAGTGTCTTGCAAAAAAAGAATTACTACTAATAATAAACGTATCATATTTTCACAATTCTGTATTATATAAATAATGGCTAAAGAATTATTCTAAGCAATTAAAAGCCTGTAAAACTCAGAAAGTGTCTTGCAAAAAAGAATTAATAATAATAATATACGTATCATATATTCTCAATTCTGTATTATATAAATAATGGCTAAAGAATTAATCTAAGTAATTAAACACTATGGTTAATCTTCGAAATGTGTAAAATATCTACTTTAACCCCAACGAATGACTCAGAAATAATGCTCTATGTTTTCTATTATAAAATATGATCCTTGGAAATCAGTTTAGACGGTATCTTAGGGTCGACTAAGCTCTCAAATCCTTATTACGCTTCCATCTTAATGCCAAAAAATGCGGAAAAGCTTCATAAAAGGGAATGAAATTACCACAGGCTCTGTGTGTGTGTGCGTGTGTGTGTGCGTGTGTGCGTGTGCAACTACGGAGGACAACAGCAGCGGCAGCAACAATCAAAAAATGGGCAGAGGTGGTTTAAAAACAAGAAATAAATAAAATAAAATAAAAGAAAATAAAGTAAAAATCCAAAATGAAGAGGGAAAAGGGAAAGGGGAAAGAGGAAAATAAAAAAGTGAAAAGGGGAAAATGAAGTGAATCTGTGTATAAATTTAATTTGGCTTTTTTTTGGTTTGTTGTTGCTGAACGAAAATGTCACATAATCAAATTTTTTAAACGCAAGCGATTTAAGAGTTGCGGCAGAGAAGGCGGTTATGCCGGGAGTCCTGGCTGGCCCTGACAAGGGGACGAGGACCACGACCAGCACCAGGATCAGGTCGGAAGTGGAGCAGGAGGTGGCGAGAGGTGAAGTGCTCTGTTCGGGACTCCTTGCGATGACATATGAAATATTAACAAGAGAGCGAAACTCCGGTCGCAAAATTTCCCATGCACGGAAAAGAGTGCGTGTTTTTGTGGCAACCGAGAGGGGGATGGGGATGGGGATGGGGAAAATGTGGGATGAATAATGGGCCAGGGAGGGGGAGAGCGGTGGGGCGAGGATCAAGCAAGTCGCGCAATTCGCCATCAAGCGTGAAAACAAATTTACTTTAACGATTTGGAGAATAAGGCAGTCGCTATGAAGCCCACCCCGAAAAGGATATACCCTATTTACATAGATAAACATATAACATATGAAAATAAATATAAAGAATAATGTATTATGTTATATTATATTATATTATATGTTATTTGAATATTTACTAGCTTTTTATATTATACCCTCCAGGGTATTTTAATTCCGGTCAAATGCTGTGAAAGAGTCATTTCCGACCCTATAAACCATATATATTCCTGATCAGCATCAATCAGCGAATCTCTCCGGCCGAAAAACAAATTTTTCCAAAATTTGCAATTTTTTTCAAAATGTGGAAAGAGGTTACATCGTTAAAATGTTTAAAAATTGACAAAAATTTGAATTTTTTAACATTTTAAACTGAGTATGCAGAATTATTAACCTATTAAAACCTGACATAGAAAAGCTTTCCGAATTGAAAATAATGCATTTTTGACTGAGTTATGATATTTGAAAATCTTTGATTTACCTAAAAAATTAAGATATAAAAATAGTGATTTAATATACCTAGAATATATATATTTTATATACACACTTTGGCTTCTCAAAGTTTGCTGCCGTTCTTGTTTATTAATCAATCGAAACCAAAGTCAAATATTTTAAATATATTTGCTTTTACGGTAGATGTTTAAGCGGTTTTTTTGAATATTAAATAAATGAACACTTTTCAACTCAATATAATTTATTAAAATAATATAATAAAATAAATAGTAAGGTTATTTTATCTCTTACCTTTTGCGTTATCCCCGTTCAAACAACATAATAACCCCTGGAAAGGGCACATCAGCTGGAAGATAAAGCCGCCTCCTCTGCCTGTCTGTCTGTCTATTTGTCTGTTTGTATATAAATTAGAACACATCAAAAGTTTGTGACATTAAATTCGGTGACTCCATACCCATTCCCATACCCAGTCCCCGGGTCTTTACCTCATATCACACATGCCGTCACACACGCCAACGATTGGGCCGCAGATAAATGTTTTAGCAGAATGAGTCTGCGGCGGAGCCTGGGAAAGGGAATGCTGATGCCGATGACAGTAATGATGCCACGCGGGCGCGAGAATTCCGGGTCCGGGTCCGGATCCGGGTCCGGGTTCGGGTCTGGGGTCAAAGCTTCAAATACAACCTCAACCGCAACAACTACCTCAAGCGTGGCCCCAAACATCTTACAGTCTTACCTCAGTAATCTAAGCCAATTTGTTAAAGTTTCTTGTGTTCAAGCCTATGAAAATGTTGCCACTTTTTAATTTCTTATTGTATATTTTATATATATTATATATATATTATATATATATTATATTTTGCCTTCTTTTATTTTGCGAATTAACCATTAAATTGATTTTTGGTTTCAATTATTTGTTTTGAATGGATTTATTTATGTTGTGATGTGTATAGTATATATTATTTATTATACATTGCATAATATTTTATAAACCAAGTAACTCGTATTTCTTTTGGTATTTTCAAAGACTTAAGTTCGCGTGGTGGAGGTGCCACTGTGCCTCGCACACAGGTTGTGCCTTTAACCAGAACAAGGCGGTCACGATGAAGGTTGGCTTGATTAAATGCTCGCTGTGTAGGGGATGTGAGTGGGTGTGGCAGCGTGTGTGTGTGTGTGTGTGGGTGTGTGCGAGCGTGAAAATGCAATGACAACAACCCGAAAAAGGCGATTACAACGACACACACACACACACACACACTCAAATACCTGATTTTTGGGGGGCGATGCCTTCACGTATGCCATTACGTTTGGCTACGTTACGCATACGCCGCGACCACTTGACTTTTGGCAGTCACGAACCCCAATATCCTGGAGTCCACAGACTCCGAATAGTGCCCCCTTGACACTGAACTTAAAATTGAAATACCATACAAGTTGATGGGTAATTAAATGGTATAATAAATAAACTTCTTTATAAAGGTCTAAAACAAAAAAATTAAATAAAATTTAATTAAAAAAGAAATAAGAAGAAACAAAATAAAGGCTTAGTTATGCTTTTATTTAATTGTAAATAATTCTAAATTTCTTCTCCTGTGTCGCATGTCCTTGTGCCATTTCCCTTCCCTCCTCCTTCTCCTTTGATGCTCATTCTTATCCTTCTCATTCGGAGTCCGTCTGGCTTTCTTTTCTTACTCTCCCCTCACTTTTCCTTTCACTTGTTGTATATGTTGTATGTATGCTAACATTTTCCGAAAGGAAAAAGGAAAAGTTGGGCGGAGACTGAAGACTGTCAGCTGTTTGAGGGCTTCCACACACGACGGCTGACATAATGCTAATGGAATGGAAGCTGTGCTATATGCTGTCTCCGATTATAATGCTGGATGCAGCAGAGAGCCGCAAATGAGGGCAGCTAAATAAGCACCGAGAACACTGAAAACATAAAAAAAAACAACTAAAAATAATCAGGGAAATGCTGCTGCGGCAAGGACTGCAACATGTTGCTTTAGAAAATGTTGCAAGTGTGCTTGTTGAGCAACAGGCCAGGATCTTTAGGAACTTTCTTAAAATAATTCCCAATTCTTTATTAAATATGTGCACAAATTCAGGCTTCAGCTTTAAAAAACATAGCTTGGCTGTATGAATTAAAATATATTTAAAAAATTATTCTGTGTGTAGCAGCAATGTAAGGATCTTCGCGTCCTTCGCTTTCATAATGTAGTTTAACTCCTTCTGCCCCCTCGCTTCGCTGTGTGTGTGTGTGGGCGCGTCCCCTTTCGCCAATGAATATTAAAATATTTGTTGTTTCGTTCAAAAAAAACTTTTAATTGGATTGCAGCGTTTTTAATACTCCCATGACCCTCTCTCTTTTACCCCCTTGACCCTTTCACGAGCACTTTTCGTCGCTGGTCACACAAAAATTGTGCACAAAACTGAAAAATCAATTTAAAAATGGTCGTTTGTCAGTTTGACGCGTTGATATAATGAAATATGCAACAAGACCGATAAAAAGTGAGCTTGTTTAAATCCCCGGAATAATCGGAAAATGCCCTGGCTTATACATGAAACGCCAACGTTCAGGTTTCAAAGCCAACTTTATTTAACTCGATCAAATTAAGAAAGAATATAAACAATTTAAATGTTTATATTTAAATAATAATGCTGACTTAAGGAAGACTTTAGAAACTCCTGTAAATAGTATTCAATCCCTTCAGTATTAATCCTTTTTCAACTGAAATCAAACACAACGGTCATTTTTTCTGGTATGGTGGTCAGTTTTTATTAGATAAATTATACATTTTACTTTTTTTTTTTGGTTTTTTCACATTCCATTGGTTTTGTTTTTGTGTTTTTATTTTAATTTTTTTTTATAAATATTTGATCTACATATAGTTTACATATTCATTGTGTATATATATTTCATTTATAGCCATAGAACAATTATCACATCTTACATATGTATGTTGGCTACCCTTAAACGTATCCATTACATGTTTTTAGTCATATGTATGTTTGTGTGTGCGTGTGGGGGGTGGGTGTGAGTGTGTTTGTTGTGTTGTGCTGTGCATTGTTATAGAATGAATATAACCAAAAGGGAGTGGGGAGCGAGTGGGTGCATGCAATAAGCTCCTGGCTGCTGGTAGCCCATCTTCCATGTCCCCACCATATCCGGTAGTGCGAAAACTTTCCACATTTCCCAAGTCATGGCATTTTCTTTCGTATATTTTTTTCTGGTTCCTTACGCCATCTTCTTGATAATAATTAGACGACGGCTGCATCAGAAAGTTTGCTCATTTATATTGTATAAACATTGCCTTTGGCCAGTTCCGGGATCCGCCACTGTTTCTTGGCCTTCGGTTCCGGTGACTTTCGTCCCAGGCAAAAAATAATAATTAATACTAAAACATATACATATATATACTGTAAGCTACTTAAAATTAATGTTAAAAAAAGCAATTTATTAAGTCAGTTTCTTCAACATCTTCAAATCTTTTGTACCAAAGAAAATTGAGCAAATTAAAAAATATATATGTATATTATGAAAAAGAAAAACAATAAAATATGGACAATATTACAGGCACATGTATAATTTTTGGAATATGCCAGCTGGCGATGACGACGACCTCGGGAAATGGCCTATAAAATGGCTGAAATTGGCGATGCCTCTGGCTTTTTCCTCATTTCCATTTAATTTTTGAAGCCGACGCTGAGAAGTATGCTACGTATTTCGCCCGAGCCAAGTTCAGTGCGTGCGCCAGTGTGTGTGTGTCTCGCAGCCATATATGGCCTCTGTGTGTCCCCTTTGGACGTGTGCTAGTGAGTGTGTAAGCGGCTTTGTGTTAAACGTTTTAGCCTGGCGGCGCTGTCAGTCGGCAAATTTCAAAGGTTGGCCAAGACACCAAGAAGGGCAAAGGGCACAAAAGCACACACACGAACATAAACATAAACACAAAGCCAAAGGCAAAGGCAAAGGAAACGAAAAGAAAAAGGGAAAAGAAAAAATAAAGGAAAAGAAAAAGAAAAAGGCACGGGCACCGAGCACCGGGCTGGCGGGAATTGGTAAATGCATTAGTTATTTAAAGAGTGAAAACATTTGTTTTGGCCTGTTGCCCCCTCACGCTTTCCGTTCTGGCCAACAACAAGGCTGTTTGTTGCCGCCGGAAACGATGACGATGATAATGGTAATGGCCATGCTAATGGCGATGCAGATGCCAAAGCTACAGTTAAGCCTCAATGGCTTCAACAGCGTCAAAGTACGAGAAAGATTCTCATAGATAAACTCAATTAATTTTAAAATCATTTAAAGGTTATATATATATTATATATAACCAGATTATATTTATATATAACCAAATTATATATAACAAGAAATTGAACTGACTTCAAAAAGCCGAAGTATATATAACCTTGCAGGATCCTATTGCAAATCGGATAATAACTAAGTCTAAAATATTCGTATTTTTGAATTGATATTTTTAAATTACAACTTTTTTGACAAATCAATGTTGGAAAAACTACCATAACTAGGTAAAAAAAATCTCTAATTTAGCTTTTATGAGGTTAATAAAGCTGCATACTCAGTTTAAAATGTTAAAAAATTCAAATTTGTTGTAAATTTGTGAAAATTTGAACAATGTAACCCCTTATAAAATTTGGAAAAATATAAAAAAATTTAATTTTTACCGGACACAGCTAGATTGACTCGGCTTTTGATGCTGATCATAAATATATATACCTAATAGGCTCGAAAATGACTGATTAACCAAAATAACAATCGTGACAAGAATTTATATCTTAAGGTGTGCGTGTGTGAGACCCCTCTATCTGTATGTGTGTGTGTGCTTGTGTGTGTAAATGGGAGAATCCAGGAGATAGCTACCATTACGACGCCCGCTTAGTAGATGCACTCCCCGAGCAGATCGCATTCACCCTTCTCGAGCGGCTTGAGCCAGAGCGGATTGTAGTTGGGGCACAGCTTCCGGTGGATGGGTATGCGGATCTGGACGGGCGTGGTGGCCACGCCCTCCCAGCCGGCATGCTCCACGCCCGCCCGCTGGAAACGTGTCCCGTCTGACATGTTGCACTGCATGCTTATTGGCTCCTGGACGTACATCGTGTACAACTGGTCGATGCGGGGCTGGCTCCACTGTATGCTCCGATAGTTGGACGATCTGGCACCATTCAAATGGACGCCGTGCTGATGTTCGGTGCTAAGAAAAATATATATAGAAAATATAGTAAATAGGGATGATATATACATATATTGCCTACAAAGTATAGTAATACATAAATAAATATATAATATAATATCTATAAATTATCTCATATTATCGGAGACTTTACAATGTCCTTACAAACTTTGAAGAAAATATCTATAAGAATGCCTTCATCTCAACATAAACATATACCGTAACGCTTATATATGGATTTATTTGGCATCTTGTATGGATACAACATTAATATTTAATTACTATTAATATTTATTTATTTATTTAAATACTGCTCTCTAACTAAAAACCTATAGAGATTAGAAGACGGCGGAACTGAGATGTTTCTCGAACTACATTTTCATTGGCAAAGACGAGAGTTTTTTGTCTTTTGGGGCTGAAATATAAATAATTGGTTTTTTTGATAAACAATAAATAAAAAACAACTCCTTTGAAAGTGTTAATTCGATTCAGCTTGATCGCTGAACCCTAAAAACCGCCGAAATCCCTCTGATTTTGAGTCATGACTGCAGGCAGAGCGACAGGATTCCTTTCAACTGACAACTGCGGCCTCCCATTCCCAGTGTCTATTTTAAGTTATTTTTTCATTTTTGTGCGGTTCTTGTTGTTTTTCCCCTTGTCTTTGCTCCCTTTATTTGAACAATTATAACGCCCATGCACATTCATGGCGTTCTATCCATCCGTCCCCGACGGGCGTTTTTGCGGCGTTAATGGAAGAAATATTTTTTAATCTACGCAACGGAACCGACGACAGATGGGTCGCGGTCGAGGACGAAGGCGGTTGGGTTTGGACCTAGGATGGGTCTGGGTCCTTTCATTAAGAAGGGGCATCCTTCGGCTGCTTGTGCATCAAAGGGAAACTTTTCGGCATTCCTTTCTCGGCGCCCAATTCCTTGGCGCATTCATAACGCCGAAATGCTCTTTGTTCCCACTCACATCCACGCGGACCCGGCCACGAAAGGTGTTCGCTAATTGCCAACTTTAAGCAGCTGAGCATCGGGGAATGAACGGCAAAATTTGCATTAGATTAGGGCCGCCGCAATGAGAGCTAAGAGTTAAGAGCTCCGAGCTCCGAGCTCCGAGCTGGGACTGGATCCTGGAATGTGGCGTCCTTAGAAGGGGAGTAATTTCCGTGCCCCGCCAGCGGTGCCTGGCTTAGGCCAAAGTTCAACTTGTTTGTTGAGGTCACATTTTCCACTCAGTTCGACTTAAGTCATTATACTCGTTATACTTGGGAATAGACCGTAAGCCACACAAGTAACAAGTTGTGGCCACTAATTGAAAATGGGTTTCTGGGACAAAGAATACGATGCAAACAAAAAAAAAGAATAATTGGAAAAGAAACTAAACCAAATGAATCTAATTTTAAACAAAGTTGCAAAAAATGACAAAATCTAAATCTAAAGTTTATCCATGAATCTTTGAAATCAAAACATTGAGAAAATACAACTCAAATAGAAATCAATTAGCTTGAGAAATGTATGCAATATCATATCAATTTTAAAGATCTGCTTCTTCTAGATATTTTTGATAATGAACAATTAGAAATAGTTCAGAAATTCTCATCGATCAATATTGAAACATTGATAAAATACAAAACAAGATGCTAAACTGAATACATTTATAGATCTATGACATCGATATGTATAACTACACTTAAATATAATTTAAATAACTTATAGCTTTGAAGATCTATTTTCAATAAATATGCTTTCTATGCAGTATAGATTAAATATAGATTTCTTAGATTATTTCTTTTCTTATTTTTAAGACAAATTCCGCGATGAAAGACTCACCGCTTCATGTAGATGAAGTAGTTCTCCAGGGTCTCCTCAGAGACGGAGCTCTTGCAGACCTCCAGTTTGGTGGCCGGATAATAGTGTATATAGTTGACGCACATCTCGTCGCTGATGGAGAAGCCACCCAGGGCGGCGGTCTTGTCGCCCTTGGTATTGTAGTAGCAAGTGGTAACCAAGGCGTCGCCCTGTCCAAGGAAAGAAACAAAACAAAAATCAAAATGGATAAGAATATTGATTCAAATATTTCCTTTCTCACCGGCAGGACGCGTGGCTTGTAGTGCAGCGTTCGCATCTCCTGGAAGTGATTCGAGTAGAAGTCATCCCGGTTCACCTCGCGCAGCTCCTGGTCGCCGCGAAAGTGCCGGGTGAGCACCCGAACGCCTCGCAAATGCGTATGCAGCTGGGAGCCAAAGATGATGATCCCGGTGGCGGGCAGGGCGGCCTTGGTGCAGTCCGCCACACAGTATCCGCTCAGCGGAAAGGCCGTCTGGCCCGGCGGAATGGCCATCTTGTCGGTGTACTCCAGACCCAGTTCCATAACGGCGGCATCATACTGCCGCAGCACCTTGGACATCTTGATGCGGAAACCCGAGTTGTCCACGAGGCCTGCCAAGATGATGGTGATGATAATGATGCCATCACTAAGGCCAAGTCCCCTGGGTAATCCCTCACACTCACCTGCCTTCATCTCCGGATTATTGAAATGCACTTCCAGGCGAACATAGGGATTGAAGCCGGGCCCACCAATGGGGAGTCCTGCCTCTGGTGGATACGTAAAGGTGCTGGCCCCCATGGCCCAGAGTGCCATTACCTTGGAGCAGACCTTGGCCTTGGCCGGCAGCTGCTCACAGTCGCCGTTGTACAATGGTATAGCCTCGTGCTCCCCAGCCTCGCAGTGGAACACCTCCATGTGATGGATGATGCCGGGCGTGCGGATCAGGGGCTCGAACTGGACAATGTGATGGCGATGGTGGATAACGCTGTCCAAACGCTGGACGTGGCACCAGTATGTTGTCTCCTTGTTGGGAATGGGTGCCTCTTTCAGAGTGATCTCCACCTGATCCAGGTCCCTGGGATTTACAAAACAAATAAGTGCGGTCACACGGCGTATGAGTAATTTGTTAGCACCGTCATTACGTATACGCCATGTGCTCAATACAAAAAAATTAACTTACGTCTCCGGAATGAGTATCTTATCGGCTCGCAGCAACTGAAGCATTTTGACACCCGCCTCATGCGGTGCCGTGACATTCGGCAAGGCGAACTGGTGATCCTCCAGGGCCAGCTCCGTTTCGCCTCGGGCCCATGCCACATACATGGTGCCCTCCTGGGGAAGTGGATACAAGGGGAATGCTAAGTAAGGTGGAGCAATAACCACGGGGAAACCACTCACATGCAGTCGCAGATCCAGCGGATCGCAGGTATCGAACTTCCGCTTAAAGGCCAGCGTGAACTCGTCCATCTTGAAGACCTCGCAGTCCTGCTGATAGTCCCTTCGAACCCACTTGCCATCCGGACTGGTGTACGTATCGGTTACCGCATTGAAGAATCCATTCTGGTTTTCAAAGAAACAAATATCCGCATCGGCGAGACCGCCGCGCTTCGAGAAGCCGAGATAGAACCAGCGATGCTGCTCATTGAACGCGTTCTGCAGATGGAAGAGCACCTCCTGCTTGTACCAGTCCACCATCCAGCTAAGCTTGATCTCCTTGTCGTCCAGATAGATCTCGTGCAGCTTCGTGTCGGAGAGTCCTGCATGGGAAACATATCATACGTTTTATTGGGTTTGTTTTCGTGCACATTATTTAATAGGTAATAAGTATGCGTTTGTGTTTCTACTCCTACTGTTTAATTAATTAATTAATTAGAGTGTCACAGATAGAATTTGGCCTCCCTTGATTGGCTTCACCACCCATGGCAGCCTCAATTTTCTCTCTGTGGGCGACATTCCTCCTGGACACGCCGAGTTATTGCCGGTCATTAAGACGGCTCGTCTGCTTTGGTTACCAAACCCCAATCCCGGCAACGGCTCCCGGATACGGATCCGTGGAGATGACGCGATAATCAAGTTACCTTGTACTAATTACCAAAAGAAAAGCAAGCCACGCTACTTTCATTCATCTCCTGTACCTCATAACCCTTACTCATAGCCTACACTGGTCACAAGAAGTAGAGGTACAACAAGGAAAGTGCTTGAACTTTTTTTATAACGAGAAAAATAAATAAAATGTCAATAACAACATTTTTAATTAATTTTCGACCCCATAAATCATATGCAGTCAGAAGCTTAAAAGAAGGTGAAAGTGAAGGTGAATATACATTCTTGATCAGCATCAACAGGCGAATCTTTTAAGCCATCTAAGACAGAACATTTTTTTTTTAGATATTTCCCTTTTTTAAAAAAGGGGAAAAGGGTTACATCATGAAAATTTGCAAAAATCGGCCAAAAATTAACATTTTAAATGGAGTATGCAGTTTTGTTAACCTGCTAAAATTAACATACTGCCGCTTTCCGAATTGAAATTAATGCGCTTTTGGCTGAGTTACGAGATTTTTAAATTTTGATTTGTCGAAAAATTTCATATAAAATATTGTTAATATATGTAGGTATAAAAATGGTAATGGACCTTCAGTCAGAAGCTTTAAAATAAGTGAAGGAGTCATTTCCGACCCCATAAATCATATATATTCTTGATCAGTATCTACAGGCCTTTCTTTCTAGCTTTATCCGGCCGAAAAAATTTTTTTTCAGATATTTCCCATTTTCGGAAAAAAGGAAAGGGGTTACATCATGAAACTTTGCAAAAATCGGCCAAAAATGAACATTTTAAATGGAGTATGCAGTTTTGTTAACCTGCTAAAAATTAACATACTGCCGCTTTCCGAATTGAAATTAATGCGCTTTGGCTGAGTTACGAGATTTTTAAATTTTGATTTGTCGAAAAATTTCATATAAAAATATTGTTAATATAGGTATAAAAATGGTAATGGACCTTCAGTCAGAAGCTTTAAATAAGTGAAGGAGCCATTTCCGACCCCATAATCATATATATTCTTGATCAGTATCTACAGGCCTTTCTATCTAGCTTTATCCGGCCGAAAAAATTTTTTTCAGATATTTCCCATTTTTCGGAAAAAAGGAAGGGGTTACATCATGAAAATTTGCAAAAATCGGCCAAAATTAACATTTTAAATGGAGTATGCAGTTTGTTAACCTGCTAAAATTAACATACTGCCGCTTTCCGAATTGAAATTAATGCGCTTTTGCTGAGTTATGAGATTTTTAAATTTTGATTTGTCGAAAATTTCATATAAAAATTGTTAATAGTATAAAAATGGTAATGGACCTTCAGTCAGAAGCTTTAAATAAGTGAAGGAGCCATTTCCGACCCATAAATCATATATATTCTTGATCAGTATCTACAGGCTTTTTCTAGCTTTATCGAGCCGAGAAATTTTTTTCAGATATTTCCATTTTTCGGAAAAAGGAAAGGGTTACATCATGAAAATTTGCAAAATCGGCCAAAATTAACATTTAAATGGAGTATGCAGTTTTGTTAACCTGCTAAAATAACATACTGCCGCTTTCCGAATTGAAATTAATGCGCTTTTGGCTGAGTTACGAGATTTTTAAATTTGATTTGTCGAAAATTTCATATAAAAATATTGTTAATATATGTAGGTATAAAAATGGTAATGGACCTTCAGTCAGAAGCTTTAAAATAAGTGAAGGAGTCATTTCCGACCCCATAAATCATATATATTCTTGATCAGTATCTACAGGCCTTTCTTTCTAGCTTTATCCGGCCGAAAAATTTTTTTTCAGATATTTCCCATTTTCGGAAAAAAGGAAAGGGGTTACATCATGAAAATTTGCAAAAATCGGCCAAAAATGAACATTTTAAATGGAGTATGCAGTTTTGTTAACCTGCTAAAATTAACATACTGCCGCTTTCCGAATTGAAATTAATGCGCTTTTGGCTGAGTTACGAGATTTTTAAATTTTGATTTGTCGAAAAATTTCATATAAAAATATTGTTAATATAGGTATAAAAATGGTAATGGACCTTCAGTCAGAAGCTTTAAAATAAGTGAAGGAGCCATTTCCGACCCCATAAATCATATATATTCTTGATCAGTATCTACAGGCCTTTCTATCTAGCTTTATCCGGCCGAAAAAATTTTTTTTCAGATATTTCCCATTTTTCGGAAAAAAGGAAAGGGGTTACATCATGAAAATTTGCAAAAATCGGCCAAAAATTAACATTTTAAATGGAGTATGCAGTTTTGTTAACCTGCTAAAAATTAACATACTGCCGCTTTCCGAATTGAAATTAATGCGCTTTTGGCTGAGTTATGAGATTTTTAAATTTTGATTTGTCGAAAAATTTCATATAAAAATATTGTTAATATAGGTATAAAAATGGTAATGGACCTTCAGTCAGAAGCTTTAAAATAAGTGAAGGAGCCATTTCCGACCCCATAAATCATATATATTCTTGATCAGTATCTACAGGCCTTTCTTTCTAGCTTTATCGAGCCGAGAAAATTTTTTTTCAGATATTTCCCATTTTTCGGAAAAAAGGAAAGGGGTTACATCATGAAAATTTGCAAAAATCGGCCAAAAATTAACATTTTAAATGGAGTATGCAGTTTTGTTAACCTGCTAAAAATTAACATACTGCCGCTTTCCGAATTGAAATTAATGCGCTTTTGGCTGAGTTACGAGATTTTTAAATTTTGATTTGTCGAAAAATTTCATATAAAAATATTGTTAATATATGTAGGTATAAAATGGTAATGGACCTTCAGTCAGAAGCTTTAAAATAAGTGAAGGAGTCATTTCCGACCCCATAAATCATATATATTCTTGATCAGTATCTACAGGCCTTTCTTTCTAGCTTTATCCGGCCGAAAAAATTTTTTTTCAGATATTTCCCATTTTTCGGAAAAAAGGAAAGGGGTTACATCATGAAACTTTGCAAAAATCGGCCAAAAATGAACATTTTAAATGGAGTATGCAGTTTTGTTAACCTGCTAAAAATTAACATACTGCCGCTTTCCGAATTGAAATTAATGCGCTTTTGGCTGAGTTACGAGATTTTTAAATTTTGATTTGTCGAAAAATTTCATATAAAAATATTGTTAATATAGGTATAAAAATGGTAATGGACCTTCAGTCAGAAGCTTTAAAATAAGTGAAGGAGCCATTTCCGACCCCATAAATCATATATATTCTTGATCAGTATCTACAGGCCTTTCTATCTAGCTTTATCCGGCCGAAAAAATTTTTTTTCAGATATTTCCCATTTTTCGGAAAAAAGGAAAGGGGTTACATCATGAAAATTTGCAAAAATCGGCCAAAAATTAACATTTTAAATGGAGTATGCAGTTTTGTTAACCTGCTAAAAATTAACATACTGCCGCTTTCCGAATTGAAATTAATGCGCTTTTGGCTGAGTTATGAGATTTTTAAATTTTGATTTGTCGAAAAATTTCATATAAAAATATTGTTAATATAGGTATAAAAATGGTAATGGACCTTCAGTCAGAAGCTTTAAAATAAGTGAAGGAGCCATTTCCGACCCCATAAATCATATATATTCTTGATCAGCATCTACAGGCCTTTCTTTTAGCTTTATCCGGCGAAAAAATTTTTTTCAGAATTTCCCATTTTTCGGAAAAATGGAAAGGGGTTACATCATGAAATTTGCAAAAATCGGCCAAAAATTCACATTTTAAATGGAGTATGCAGTTTTGTTAACCTGCTAAAAATTAACATACTGCGCTTTCCGATTGAAATTAATGCGCTTTTGGCTGAGTTACAAGATTTTTAAATTTTGATTTGTCGAAAAATTTCATATAAAAATATTGTTAATATAGGTATAAAAATGGTAATGGACCTTCAGTCAGAAGCTTTAAAATAAGTGAAGGAGCCATTTCCGACCCCATAAATCATATATATTCTTGATCAGTATCTACAGGCCTTTCTATCTAGCTTTATCCGGCCGAAAAAATTTTTTTCAGATATTTCCCATTTTTCGGAAAAAAGGAAAGGGGTTACATCATGAAAATTTGCAAAAATCGGCCAAAAATTCACATTTTAAATGGAGTATGCAGTTTTGTTAACCTGCTAAAAATTAACATACTGCCGCTTTCCGAATTGAAATTAATGCGCTTTTGGCTGAGTTATGAGATTTTTAAATTTTGATTTGTCGAAAAATTTCATATAAAAATATTGTTAATATAGGTATAAAATGGTAATGGACCTTCAGTCAGAAGCTTTAAAATAAGTGAAGGAGCCATTTCCGACCCCATAAATCATATATATTCTTGATCAGCATCTACAGGCCTTTCTTCTAGCTTTATCGGCCGAAAAAATTTTTTCAGAATTTCCCATTTTTCGGAAAAAGGAAAGGGGTTACATCATGAAAATTTGCAAAAATCGGCCAAAAATTCACATTTTAAATGGAGTATGCAGTTTTGTTAACCTGCTAAAAATTAACATACTGCCGCTTTCCGAATTGAAATTAATGCGCTTTTGGCTGAGTTATGAGATTTTTAAATTTTGATTTGTCGAAAAATTTCATATAAAAATATTGTTAATATAGGTATAAAAATGGTAATGGACCTTCAGTCAGAAGCTTTAAAATAAGTGAAGGAGCCATTTCCGACCCCATAAATCATATATATTCTTGATCAGTATCTACAGGCCTTTCTTTCTAGCTTTATCCGGCCGAAAAAAATTTTTTTTCAGATATTTCCCATTTTTCGGAAAAAAGGAAAGGGGTTACATCATGAAAATTTGCAAAAATCGGCCAAAAATTAACATTTTAAATGGAGTATGCAGTTTTGTTAACCTGCTAAAAATTAACATACTGCCGCTTTCCGAATTGAAATTAATGCGCTTTTGGCTGAGTTACGAGATTTTTAAATTTTGATTTGTCGAAAATTTCATATAAAAATATTGTTAATATAGGTATAAAAATGGTAATGGACCTTCAGTCAGAAGCTTTAAAATAAGTGAAGGAGCCATTTCCGACCCATAAATCATATATATTCTTGATCAGTATCTACAGGCCTTTCTATCTAGCTTTATCCGGCCGAAAAAATTTTTTTTCAGATATTTCCCATTTTTCGGAAAAAAG